TTTGATCTTTTTTCTTTTTTTTCTGAGGGAGATTTGCTCTGAGCTAACATCTGTTGCCAGTCTTCCTCTTTTTTTTCTTGAGGAAGGTTAGCCCTGAGCTAACATCTGTGCCACTCTTTCTCTACTTTGTATGTGGGTCCCCACCACAGCATGGCTGACAAGTGGTGTAGGTCCACACCTGGGATCCAAACCCAGGAATCTGGGCCACTGAAGCAGAGCGCATGAACTTAACCACTACACCACAGTTTTGTTCTTTTGTTTTTGTTTCTTTGAGTAAACCATGTATTTAGATCAATAAATTAAATATAGCTAGCAGTTCAGACATCTCCCTTATGGCCCCCTTTATAAGCATTTACTGTTCTAACAGCTGTCTCCATAGATTTAGTTTTAACTTTATCCTGTTTTTGAATCTTTCTCTTTTTTTTTTTTGAGGAAGATTAGCCCTGAGCTAGCTACTGCCAATCCTCCCCTTTTTGCTGAGGAAGACTGGCCCTGAGCTAACATCCGTGCCCATCTTCCTCTGCTTTATATGTGGGACGCCTACCACAGCATGGCTTGCCAAGCGGTGCCATGTCTGCACCTGGGATCCAAGTTGGCGAACCCTGGGCCGATGAAGCGGAATGTGCACACTTAACCGGTGCACCACCAGGCTGGTCCCTAAATCTTATATAAATGAAATCACACTATATACTATATGAATGGAATTGTTGTATCTGACTTCTTTCACTCAAAATTACATTTGTGAGAGTCATCCATGTTTTTGAGTATGGCAGTCATTAATTTTCCTTGCTGTATTTTGAGGGGTAGGCACACAATTGGATTAGTTTTTAAAAGGTGACTGGTTGTTATATGGGGAAATAGATTGTAGAGAAGCAGGAGAAGAAGCATGGAGACTGGGAAGATAGCTGTGGAATAGACTAGGTGAGGATCTTGGACTAGCATGAAGAGCGAAAGAGATGGAATGAAACAGACAGATGTGAGATATATGTACTTTGGAGATAAAACTCGGGGAGTTTACTGATAGATTGGATAAGAGTAGGAGTGAGGGAAAGGGATGTATCATGATTCCCAGGTTTCTGGCTTGGGCAACCAATAGATGGAGGTTTCATTTTATTCTCATGCGAAGGACTTGGGGAAGGACACCTTTAAGTAGACTAAAAACCAAGAGTTCACTAGGTATCTTAAGATGCTTGTGAGATATGAGAGAAGCTGTCGAACAGGCATTTGGATTATGGGTATGGAACATATTGGGGGGAAAAGTAGGAAGTTTGGATAGTTTGCAGGTTATGAGGCAGCTGCCATGTAAAGAGTCCTATATTAGAGTTAGAAGATCTGAGTTTCACCATTTTATTCAACTTCTATTGGCTATGTGACTAAAGGCAAATCACTTGATCTTTTTGAGCTCCATTTCTTCTCATCTGTAAAATGAGAGTAATACTGTGCTCAGAAAAATTCATTCATACGCATTTTGGGTTGGTAGGAAAAAGTCAGATTATGGAAAGGCATGTAAGGGACTTTCTGTAATATGGAGCTTTAGAGTTTCTTAGTAAGGGAATAGACATCAAAGTTTGGTTTTAGTATGCATCATCTAACTGCTGTGCAGGAAGAAGTTAAAGGTGAGAAATATCTAGAAAATCAGTTGTCATAGTTCAGGGTAAGGTGCTGAGGGCGTGGCCTGACATGGATGTAGAGATCAAAGAACAAATCAGAAAGATTTCAAAGGAAGAAAGTACAAGATTTGTTCAATCACTAGTTTTATGGCTTAAAGAAGAGAGTGAAGAATAATCATCCATGAGCCTGAGGCTTCTAGCCTAGGAAGCTAGGAAAAGAGCGGAAGCAACAACAAACCTGGGGTAGTCTGAAACGAAGTCTGAGTTAGAGAAAAGATGATGCATTCTCTTTTGAACCTATGACTTAAGGTGGTAGTATGGTTGTCTTGGATAGTCGGATATTCTCTGGCAGTGAGATATTGTGGAAAAGATCACAGGATTAGAAGTCAAGAGATTGATTCTTTTTCAGGCTTAATCACTAATTAGCTTTGTAGTCTTGGGAAATTCAGCATCTCAAGTGTTCAATGTTATCTTAAAAAATGAAGCTAACACCTTCCCTATCAGCCTTACAGGATTGTTTTGAGGATCGAGAATGCATATGAAAACACTCTGTAATTGTAAACTCCTATATAGTTGTAAGATGGTAAGGTTATTTTTATTCTTAATTCAAACTAAAATGAAATATTTGGTTCTCGGGCGAGAGAAGAGAAGAAAAGGTGGAAAATACCAAACTTCTTAAAAGTTTGTGTTCGAAACTAAATCACAAACTTTTGTCACTGGATGTATATGCCTGAAAGCCTCTGTAGACTGTAATTTGGGAGACTAATCTGGAAGCTGATCTTGTACACGACAGTTATGAGAACCAAAAACACAGGTTGCATCTTGTCAAATTTCAGTATTTAACTTCAAGTTGGAACTTTGAAGAACTTTTGAATTCCACCTGTACAGTTGTCCCATGTGTTTACAGAATTTTAGAACATACTTTTCTTGTGTCTGTGAGCTATACATTTTTGCCAAGGGTCAAATTAGGGTAATGTTTCAATTCTTAAGCTATATATAAAGAAATGATTTCTGACATTTATCAGCATTATCAGTATGGTATGCTGGTTAGGATCAGAGACTCTGAAACCAGACTTCCTGGATCAAATCCCAGCTCTGTGCGTTTGACTAGCCTTGTGCATTTGAGCAAGTCATTTAACCTCTCTGTGCCTCTATTTCCCCATCTGTAATGGGAACTAATATTAATACCTACCTGAAGGTTGTTAGGACGATTAAATGTAGTACTGTATGTAAAGCACTTACAGTGGTTCCTGGCACATGCTAAGCACTATTTGTTAGTTGTGGTTATTACAGAATAGTTAGTTGTTACTTTGGTGGTGACCAAGGAATAAAGTACATGAACAAAAGAAGCAACTCCTCTCAGAACTTATAGCTGAGGGAAGTGGAAGTGGTATAGTGGTAAAAATCAGTGTCTTTACAGTCAGACATGCTTAGATTCAAATCCTAATTCTGCCCCCTTTGCTTTGTGGTTTAAGCAAGCCACCTAAGCCCTCTGAAGCTCAGTTTCTTTCAACCATGAATGAGGAGTCACAATGCCTATCTTGCAAAGTTGTTATGAGGATTAAATAAGACAGTGTGTAAAGCGGTGGCCCAGAATAGATGCTAAAAAAACGAGTGTGCTAACACCCGATTCCACTGTACAGCAGTATGGGCAGTCTGATTTCCTGTACACTCTCGTATTCATTTGTTTGCAGTCTTGGAACTTCCAAAATTCTTTCCATTTGCTAACAGCAGAATAAACAGCAACTGTTTAATTGGACACACCTTGAAAAGTGTGTTGTCAGTTTTTGTTTCCCTCTTCCCTTTGCTCTTTTGGGTTACTTGATATATCATTATGGTAAATCCTGCTAGACCCAAAATAGTAGACATTTTTAATCAGTCATAGAATTAACTGGGCTATAGCCTCAGAATCCTTCACGGAATTCCAGCAGCTACAATCAGTTCATCAGACTTCATACAGTAGTGAAATCCTCTCTGCCTTAGAGCTTTCTAGAAGAAATGTTTATGGGATTATCAGAATAATATCTGGACTCCCCACTAATCCTCTGTCTCAAGATGTGGGCTTATCAAACATTATGACAAAGCAGAGTGCTCTTAGAGCATTTCCTAACAGGTGCTTATCTATATTATAACATTGTTACATAATGTGGGCATCTTTAGACACCTCCTAGAGGAGATGCAATAATTGTAAGAGTATAATGCAATGGCTATAATGCAAAGATTATAACACAATGACCCAAGCAAGAGTGTGTATCAGAATCAGCTGGAATGTGGTCTTAAAATACTCATGCTCTAGGCTTCATCATACATTTATTGAATCAGGTTCATCGGTAGATGGAACTTGACATGTGCATTTTGTAAAAGTATCCCAGATGATTCTGCTGTATATACCACTAGTTAAAAACAACTAGATAGTGGCAAGAGTGTAGAGAATCAGGCATCCTCACACGCTATTTGTATGAATGTAAATTGATACAGTACAGCCTGTAGGACAGTTTTGCAGTATCTGTCAAAATTTCAAATCTGTCCTATAGAAATATATGCACAAAGATATAGTTTCAAGAAAGTTTCCTGTATTCCTGTTTATAACATCCAATAATTGTGAGCCACTGAACGATTGTCAGTACACAAATGATTAAATATGTTGTGCTGGATACCACAGTTGTTTACTATGCAGTCATCTAAAGAATGAAGTATGGATGAAGATTATCTATGCATGCTGATGTAGAAAGATATCTAGGATATATTGTTAAGTTGAATAAGCAAGTCATGGAATAAACGCTATTTTTAAAATTTTACGTGTAAATATATAGAGAGAGATTTGGAAGAATACCCAACAAACTGTTTACAGTGGTTATCCATGACATAAAAGAATGGGAATGATGGAGGGGAGAGGAATAGGCCTTTTTACTTTTGTATTTAAAATATTTGCAATAAGATTTTATTATTTTTGTAATAAGAGAAAGAAACACTGGATAAAACATGAATAATTTAAAGGAAGTTCGTATGGAACCTAATTTGTATGTGTTAGGACACTGCTTATTTTTCAAATACCAGTTTTAACCTGAGACTTACAATCTATAATCTCTAACTTGGGAAACAGAAAGGAACATCAAAACTATTTTGCATGCTTGCAAAGAGAATAAAATTTTGTTACCAAAGTTATTGTGAAAGTAACTGAGAGTTTTAAACAGATAAGCGTTTAAGATATAAAGTGTTTGCCCTGTATCAGAATTATATTGACTATCTGCTTTAAAAATATTTGGTGTCTATGCATAGCTGGATATGAAAATTGGGTTCAGAATATTTTAGTGTAATCCTTTTTCAATTGATTAGCCGCTAGCCTGTGAGGATATTAACACCTTTTAATCTCCTCTTTTAAAACTATAGGCCCGATGAGAGAAAGGGAAAGTTAAGGATGCTGGAGCAGAACAATGGATTTCTCTTTCTCTTTCATGCAAGGGATCATGGGAAACACAATTCAGCAACCACCTCAACTCATTGACTCCGCCAACATCCGTCAGGAGGATGCCTTTGATAACAACAGTGACATTGTTGAAGATGGTGGCCAGACACCATATGAAGCTACCTTGCAGCAAGGCTTTCAGTACCCACCTACCACAGAAGATCTCCCTCCACTCACAAATGGCTATCCACCATCAATCAGCATGTATGAAACTCAAACCAAATACCAGTCATATAATCAATATCCCAATGGGTCAGCCAATGGCTTTGGTGCAGTTAGAAACTTTAGCCCCGCTGACTATTACCATTCAGATATTCCAAACACAAGACCACATGAAATTCTGGAAAAACCTTCTCCTCCACAGCCACCACCTCCTCCTTCGGTACCACAAACTGTAATTCCAAAGAAGACTGGCTCACCTGAAATTAAACTAAAAATAACCAAAACTATCCAGAATGGCAGGGAATTGTTTGAGTCTTCCCTTTGTGGAGACCTTTTAAATGAAGTACAGGCAAGTGAGCACACAAAGTCAAAGCATGAAAGCAGAAAAGAAAAGAGGAAAAAAAGCAACAAGCATGACTCATCTAGATCTGAAGAGCGCAAGTCACACAAAATCCCCAAATTAGAACCAGAGGAACAAAATGTAAGTTGAAACATCTTTTTGAAAAATTTTGTAATATTTCACATTTACTGGAAGTCCAAGAGGTATTTTTCAGTTTTTAGCTCTTCAAATATAAATATCTCTGATAACTTCTTTCTTCTAATCCTTAGCAAGGAGTGTGGGCTGTTAGAATAGGTGCTGAGTAAATATTTGTTGAATAAATGGACATGATTAGAGTGGAGAAATATTTTTAAAACATGGCACTTAAGAATCTTCCTTCTTATGTTTCTTTGTCTAATAGCCTCACTTATTTTTATTTGCTTATAATAAACTCCTGGTTTCTGAAGATGAAGAGGAAAGGCAAAGAGAAGATCGTTAATTATATTGGTTTTTCATTATTTTAGACTAACTTTTCCAGTGGAGCTTGGATGTAACACTCATTACTAATATGTTTGCGCAGAATAACCTGAAGTAATAGTGGAACTCTTTTCATTAAAATCAGAGTTAGTATTCATATATATTGATTAAAACTTCAGGTGGAGTTTTCATAAAAGTCAGCCTTCATAGGTAACTTAAGATACATGCTGCTGAATTTTTTAATATCTCTGGGATTTCAGTATGAGTTTTCTTAATAAGAAGAGGTATGTAACAAATCAATTCTGGCTTGCATGGAGAGTTTTTAGTTAGTATTCGAATACATGGTATGAATTGAAGCTGTTTCCCGACATTTATTGGGAAGAAATGAATATCTGTTTATTTTTGTGACAGTTGTCTGCTTTTATATCTGGTATGCCTGAATAAGTTAATTTATTATCTTCTTTTCAAAGAAGTGTTTACCTCTTACCAACTCCCCTTTTCCTTTGTAGCTGGGTTCTAGTACTTCATACAACTCAAATGTGATCATCTTCTAGAGTAAAGGTCATACTGCTTCTGGACTCTCACAAGTCCCAGTGTGATATTTCAATATGTTTTTCTCATTTTTCCACAGTTTTCTTATTCATTTAACAAATATATATTGAGTACCTACTGTGTGCTACACACTTCTCTAAGAATTGAAAGTAGGGCAGTGAATGAAACGCAGAGATGCCCACTTTCAGGGTGCTTATATTCTAGTAAGAGGAGCCAGAAAATACATAATACATCTGTACATGCATACATACATGTATGAGTTCAGAGAGTGTTAAGTGCTATGAAAACTGGATAAGGAGATAAAGAGAAATCAGGGACACTTTAGCTATTCTGGTGTCTTAATTCTGCATCTGTAAAATGAAAGCTTTAGAATTAAATGGTTTCTGAAATGTTTTTAAATTCCTGTCATTTATTAAATGCCCCCCACAGACCTTAGCTCACATAATCGCTACCTTAGCTCACATAATCTCTTATACTGACTGGTAATATATAAGTGAATAAATGGAAGGAGAGAAGTTAACTTTTTGCACTCCAGATACATTCACTGTAGCATTTCTTTCCTAGACCTGCAATGAAAATATACATGATGCACTATGACCCCTGGCAATCAAAAAAATGCATACAACCTGAATTTGGTTTTAGCCTAGTTCCTGAGAACTGTCTTACTGGCTTATCTTGCTTTGCTCTAGAGAATCTGGCAAATAGGAGAATATCCAATTTTACTTATTAGGCTAGACTTTTTGCCTGTATTGAGACATTGAATTTAAAATATATCTCAAAATAGTAATCGGACGGGAAGCACTTAGAGGCAGGTTAAGACAGTCTGTTTATGTTTTGTATCTACTTTTTGCTTTATTGGAATCTAGGAAGAAATTTCAGTGCAATGGTATTTCTAGTAGTCACTTCGCAATGAGGTTTTAAAGCCAGTTCTGTCTCTGTTGGATTATCTGCTATGTATGGCTCTTTATATCACTTAAAATTTCAGTTAACTGTTATATCCAGGGATTAGAATAGTTAGATATAAGTTGAGGGTTTTAGTTCATTTTCTTTATTGGTAAGTCACGTGGGGCATAATTTAATATTTCATTATTTAGCATCTTACAACACCTTGGGATAAAAGAATGTAAATTTGACTGGATGTATAAATGTACAAAGTGGCGTTGATTGCACTAAATACTACCAGGACCATTGCCTGAAACTTGAGTTTTTGGGGAAAATCTGGGCGTTTTTCTTGTTTCTTTCTCTATCTCCCCCCTTCTGTCTCCCTGCCCCCTCTCTCCCTCTTCTCATCCTTCTCTTCCTTTCTCTCTCTCTTCCCCACCTTGCCTCCTCCCTTTTCTTTCAAAGAAATAATGTGAAGAGCTAAGTTCTTGTTAAATGAATTTTTATTGATTAAAATTTTATCACACATGGGGGCAATTATCTTAAGAGATGGGTGCCACGAAAGTTGTCCTCCGTCCTAATAACAGAACTTTAAAGCTAGAGCTCCAAGGCTCTTGCTTGTTGTTAGTGTTGTCCTTTTGCTAAGCTATACAGATGACTAAGTAATGTGCAAAAATTAACCTGTTTTGTAACTTTATGTGTTTTTTAATTGGTTTCCCTTAACTTGAATATCTATTTTGCTTCCTTCAGGACAGTTTTTTTTAAGTGTTTTAATATTTAATACCCTTGTGCCTCCTGGTTGTCACTCAGGGCTGAAGCCCTTGGTGTTAGCACTGTAGAGGGCTTAGAAGCGAAAGAGCAGCCCGGGACTCTGCTGACGCCACTGGACAGCTCCCTCCCCCGGACACCCTGGGAAGCATGCTGAGAGCTGTGTGCCTGGCGAAAAAGTTTGAAATGATTGTCCTCAAGCTGGATTTATACACACACACACACGTATATATTTGTTCCTTAAAAGCCCACTTATAGATTCTTTTTTGAGCAAACAAAATCTCATCTAAATACACTTCAAGGTTTCACTCACTACTTTTTTCTTTTATTTTTTCTTCATAGTTGATCTACAAGTATTTCCTCCCAATCCTGAGCTATTTGGTCTTCTAAAGAGTGGCTGTTATTTGGAACAATCTAAGTATATGTTTTCAACATTGAAAATGTGTCCAAACATCTAGGCAGCAGGAGACCTGAGATCACTACTGAAATTGTATATTTTGTAAAGCTGCTTTAGCTGTTTTTCCTCCCACCAAATTAGAAACATGTGGAAATGTTTCTGGCGTTTCTTCCTTGGCAGGTGTAATGCCTCAGGCATGTGAGTGTAGGCCCTGTTCAAACACTGGTCTTCCACCAGTCCGTCAGTCCGTCAGTCCGTCAGTCTGTCAGTCTGTCAGTCTGTCAGTCATTGAGATTATTCACTAAGGCTAGTCTCCTTAACTCCTAGCTTGCCGTTTTCACTTACAAAGAGCCCAACAGCTGGTTCGGTCCCATTAGCACTAAGAGGTTATATTTGGTTCTTTAGCTTCAGAGTATTAGGTCTTAAAATTCTTAGAAACTGTTCACATGCAAAATGTTTTTTTTGTACAGACATTTTAGTTTTTAAGATTACAAACTTAAGCAGTTATTCACAAAGTAAAAGAAAAATGCACCAACAATTTATTGCCTTTAAAATTTTCTTTCCACCTTAAATGTTGATATACGTTTTCGGTTCTTTTAGAGAACACAATTTTGCTTAATGTTTTGAAAATTATTATGAGTTTCAAACTCTGCCAGATTTGATGCATATTATTCATCTTAATAAATCTCTTAGGTTTTAATGAAATTACTAGAGCAAATTTTTTAAAGGAACATTTAGGATAATGTAATTTTATCTTAGCTGCTCTCTTAACATATTTTTTTCCTGTTTAGGAAACTTCTTATGATTCTTTCCTGGAATATAGGTCTTTGTATGTGGGATCAACTAAAAATGTAAAAATGTGGTATATACCTGTAAAGTCATGTTCAGAATTAGGATTACTCGAACACTAAGGAGAGCTAACTCACTGTCATCTTTTTCTCTGATGTTTTCTCTTCCTAAAGCAACAGTATTAGTACCGAAAAAGGTATCTTTTGTCCTTACTTGATTTTTCTTTTAAGCTTATCTGTCCTTTGAACAACTGAAGAAAAATGGATTTTATGCCCAGAAGTATTTTATCTGTTGGCATTTTCTGACTCCTTATTTTTCTTCACTCCTAAGCATTTGACTTCCCTTGACCATTTCATCTTAAAACTTCTCCCCTTCTTAATTGCTGTTTGTTATACTGTACTGTCTCTTGGTTTATCCTCTTACCTTTTTTTTTGAGCTCAAGTCATAGATCTCTAAATGCTTACCAGATATTTCTGTTTTGCTCACACATTAGCACAGTTTACAATGTATATTCCCTTGTTGTCATTGGAGCATCTTTATGTGACTTCTTTTTCCTCCTTTTATTTATTTAGTCTTAGAAGCTTAGAATAAATCTTCTTGGGCTTCTTTCTCTCCCTTGCCATTTCTTTCCTTTTAAAATGACTGTGTAAAAAAATTGCAGTTCTATGAAAGTGATTTTAACAGTTTCAAGCCAGCTGGAAGGAAATGCGAACAATCTGGAACAAACCAAAAAATCAAAAAAAGATAAGATATTTGAATAATAAAAAGGTTTTAAAGGAAATCCTATCCTTAATCTAGAAAGGGAAAAATGTTAATGGGCTTCAGGCCAGCTGTTACAATAGTAGGATTCTGTCGTTTGGCAAAGATTAGTCACTCCTTTCTATCTCCCCTCAAAAAGGGTTATAGAGTTCCCTTACACCCAGACATCATGAAGATTGAACATGTGGAGGAGGATGACTTGCTTTCTTCGCCACGTATGTGCTTCCTGCTGTAGCTTGAGAATGAAAAGCTGAGGTGAAGGCTTAAGCTACATCTGTAGACTGAAATGAAGCTGCTGAATGGGCCTATGCAAATGCGGACAGTATTTCTAAACTGCTTTATTGTTACACTAGTGATCGGGAAAGCAGTTTTCATTTGAACATAGATTTTTCTTTCCTTGCTCAGTGAGTGTGTCCTATTAGATTAGATATTCCTGGTACCCCACAGACGCATCTGACAGAGCTAATTTTGTGCCCGTAAACAAACGACCTCTACTTTCCTTCACCTGGACCATTTCCAATGTTTCCAGAAACCTCCTAATTAAACGTCCTGCTTTTCCTCTTGCTCCCTTCCAAAATGTTCCCCACATAACAGCTAACGTGATTTTTTTTTTTAGTTCATAACAGTTTACATCATTGTGAAATTTCAGTTGTACATTATTTCTTGTCCATCACTGTATAAGTGCTCCCCTTCACCCCCTGTGCCCACCCCCCAGCCCCCTTTCCCTGGTAACCACTGAAGTGTTCTCTTTGTCCATGTGTTTGTTTATATTCCACACATGAGTGAAATCATACGGTGTTTGTCTTTCTCAGTCTGGCTTATTTTGCTTAACATAATAGCTTCCAGGTCCATCCATATTGTTGCAGATGGGATAATTTTGTCTGTCTTTATAGCTGAGTAGTAGTCCATTGTATATATATACCACATCTTCTTTATCCAATCATCAGTCACTGGGCAATTGGGTTGCTTCCATGTCTTGGCTATTGTGAATAGTGCTGCAGTGAACATAGGGGTACATATGTCACTTTGAATTGTTGATTTCAAGTTGTTTGGATATGGCTGGGTCATATGGTATTTCTATTTTTAGTCTCTTGAGGAATCTCCATACTGTTTTCCATAGTGGTTGCACCAGTTTGCATTCCCACCAGCGGTGCATGAGGGTTCCCTTTTCTCTACACCCTCTCCAACATTTGTTATTTTTAGTCTTAGTGATTATAGCCATTTTAACAGATATAAGGTGGTATCTTAGCGTAGCTTTGATTTGTATTTCCCTGATGATTAGTGATGTTGACCGTCTTTTCATGTGCTTATTGGCCATCTGTATATCTTCTTTGGAAAAATGTCTGTTCATATCCTCTGCCCCCCCGCCCTTCTTTTTTAACGATTGGCACCTGAGCTAATATCTGTTGCCAATCTTCTTTTCTTCTTCTTCTTCTTCTTCTTCTCCTCAAAGCCCCCACTGCAAAGTTGTATATTCTAGTTGTAGGTCCTTCAGGTTGTGCTATGTGGGACGCCACCTCAGCATGGCCTGATGAGCAGTGCCGTGTCCTTGCCCAGGATCCAAACCAGTGAAAGCCTGGGCCACCGAAGAGGAGCACGTGAACTTGACCACTCTGCCCATTTTTTGATCTGGCTGGCTGTTTTTTTTGTTGTTCAGTTGTGTGAGTTCCTTATGTATTATGGAGATTAAACTCTTGTTGGATATATGATTTGCAAATATTTTCTCCCAATTGGTGGATTGTCTTTTTAACATGATCTTTTAAAACCGTAAATTGGCATGTTACTTCTCTACCTAATCCTCCTCAGTGGCTTTTCATTGCGCCCGAGAGAGCACTTGCACATGGCCTGCGGAGCCTCAGGATGTAGCCTCCTCTCCTCTCTCCTCTTGTAAGCCATCTCTTCTTTGGGGCAGTTAAGTCAGTTGTAACGGCCTTCTTGAAGTTTTTACCTTTTTTGAACCTCACGCATGCCACTCCTTCTCTCTGGAATGTTCTTTCGCCCACTTTTTACTAGACTAACTCCTCTTCCTTTGAGTCTCAGATTATAATTTACTTTCTCAGAGAGGCCTTTTCTGACCTTCATATCTAAAAATATACACACCATTATTTCTCTTCATACATTTACGTTGTATAAGTATATGTTTGTGTTTTTATTTGTTTACTGTCTGTCTGTCCTACCTGGCTGTAAGCTCTTTGAGGTTAGGGGTCACATCTGTTTGTTTCATCATCGTATACCCAACTCGCACCACAGTGCCTGGAAAGTCATAGGCACTGTGGAGTGAATGAGTAGACTTGGAGTTTGGGGTATTTGTCTGGCTTATCATTTTCCTAACAATTAAAACCTTTTTTTACAATTTCTTTTATTTAATAAAACTTTGTTTTTACAACAGTGTCTTGAATGTCTTGCATTAATTGAAAATTGTAAGTAGCTTCTAGTATTAGCCATATTTTTTTCAGTGGCATTAAGACCTAATTTGATGGATATATCCCTCTTATTAAGCCATCTAAATTAACTTCTGTTCTTTGACAAGTGAGAAATTTTTAAAAATCTTTTAAATTACAAAAATAATTGCTTTTTACAGAAAATGCAAATAATACAAAAGTATAGATCTACCCTATTTCCCTAACTTCATTCCCCAAAAATAACTACTCTGATCAATTTGGTGTACAATTTATCAAATATTTTTCAAGGCATATATAGACTTTTTAAATAAAACGTGGAAAGATGTTGATAGACATGTAGATTACTGACATGAAATAGTGTTGTAGTTACCATCCCTCTCCTTAGATTTTCTTGTTTTGTGTATTTCTGTAGAATAGGTTCCTAAAATAGAATTGGTAGATTGAAGCGTGTACATATTTTGAATTTTGATAGGTACTTCCAAATTGACTCCTAAAAGGGTTATAGAAATTAATTTTTAAACTACATATTTGTGGGGTTTATGATTAGAAAAGTAAAATAATGTTTATTGTAGACAGTTTGACAAATAGAGAAAAGCACACCAAAAGAAAATCACTTATTCCATCATCTGGTGGTTTCCTTCTAGTCTTTTTTTTCTGGGTACATAAAAACAGTTGTTTTTCCAAGACTGGAATCATACTGTACCAGCTCCTTTGCAATTTACTGTTTTAAAATAACATTATATTGGAGCCAGCCTGGTGGCACAGTGGTTAAGTTCACACATTCTGCTTTGGTGGCCCAGGGTTCACCAGTTTGGATCTCAGGTGCAGACCTGTGCACTGCTTGTCAAGCCATGCTGTGGTAGGCGTCCCACATATAAAGTAGAGGAAGATGGGCATGGATGTTAGCTCAGGGCCAGTCTTCCTCAGCAAAAAAAGAGGAGGATTAGCCACAGATGTTAGCTCAGGGCAAATCTTCCTCAAAAAAAATAAATAAAATAACATTATATTGTTATTTTTCCATGTCACTTTAAAATGTATTTATATTATTCCAATATCTAGTTATTCTATAATTTATTTAACTAATTCTTCATTTTTGAACATCTAGTCTGTTTCTAATATTTGCTCTTATAAATAGTACTGGTGTGCATATCTTCGTAATTATAGATAGATTTTTATACCCCTTAATGCTCTCTCAATATACATTTTTAGAAGTCGATTTGCTGGGTCCAAGTCTGAAAATTTAAGGCTTTTCATGCATATTGCCAAATTGCTCTCCAGAAAAATTGCAACTTACGTCTTACTAGCAATCGCCAAGTGCCCGTTTTTCTGTACTCTGGTAGGTTAAAAAAAACACACACACGGGCCAGCTCAGTGGCATAGTGGTCAGGTTCACGCTCTCTGCTTTGGTGGCCTAGGGTTCACAGGTTCAGATCCTGGGCACAGACCTAGCACTAGTTGTCAAGCCATGCTGTGGCGGCATCCCACATAAAATAGAGGAAAGATTGGCACAATCTTCCTCAAGCAAAAAGAGGAAGATTGGCAACAGATATTAGCTGAGGGCCAGTCTTCCTCACACACAAAAAAAATCCCACATAAACTAAGAAATTAGGTTTTAAAAGTAATAAAATAAGAAATGGGAAACATAGCTATGGTGTGGAATGGAAAATGAATGTTAAGGCACAGCCTCATGTACTGCATAAGTTGTATTCTTACTCCTTACATTATTCAGTTAATAGATGCCCTTTATTCTCTTTGCTGTTTAGTTCTCGAATTCTTTTTGTGTGTGTCACTCTTCTTTGGTTGACTGCCATTTTATTCCTTTCACCTGTACCTTTTCACCTAGAGACCAAATGAGAGGGTTGACACTGTATCAGAAAAACCAAGAGAAGATCTAGTTCTAAAAGAGGAAACCCCGGTGAGTTGCTTTATTGAATAGCATCTAACCAAATATGTTGTAAGAAGGTGAAAGCAGAGTGATTAATTTATAACACATTTAACATGTGTTATTGCAGTTCCATCCTTCTTTATTTCAGAAGTTATACTGAAATAAATCTTGGAGCTGGTTTAAGAGGTAGATATTTTCAGTGAATTGTTTTCCTTTTCAAAACTCTAACCACTTTTTAATAGATTTTGTGAATTCTCAAGGTGCCTCATCAATAACTTGGCAACAGAAACTATCAATCCTATTTTCATTATTTGGAGTAGGGCTTATTAATTATCTTCATCCTCTTTTTTTCCTTTTTGCTAGTTATAGATAGCAGGGATCAGAGAAAAGTATAATTGAAGGTAAATTTTACGTGGTTAGCATGTTTAATGTACTTTGTACATAGTTTCTTTTTAAAAATTTTTCTGCTGATGAAGTTTTATGATCTTTTCCAATAGGTTCAGCCGATATTATCTTCTGTTCCAACAACAGAAGTGTCCACTGGTGTTAAGTTCCAGGTTGGCGATCTTGTTTGGTCTAAGGTGGGAACCTATCCTTGGTGGCCTTGTATGGTTTCAAGTGATCCCCAGCTCGAGGTTCATACCAAAATTAACACAAGAGGTAAGAAAAAGCATAAATAGATACTAAGTGAAAGGTTGAGAGAAAAAAGTAAATCTTAAATGTTGTGTGTGAATATAAGAGTACACACATGATATGTAATCTGACACCAAAATATACATAGTAATATCAATTTTTCATAACCAGTGAAGTAATTATGGTCATCTTAACTGACAGCATCTACAACTGATACAGTCCCTGTTTTCTCTTACAATATCTTGCATTTATCTTATACTCTCTTTCACATTTCTTTTTTAAAAAAACCTTAATCTGACTGACCTCTCATATGAATTCCTAAAGAAAGCAGATGGATAAGTAATAAGATGTCTCATATGAGCTTAATAGGCATTTGGGCCAAGTTTTCTTTGGACATTTTTATTTCATCATTGAATCCTATGGGTAGTAATTTTTTACCCAGACAAGTGCTTTTTCTTCCTGATAAATTTTTCAGGATGCTTTTTTTTCCTCCACTCCATTTTTGAATCTCTAAATTTACTGGGACATCCTAATAAATTCAGTATGACATAGAAGTATACCTTGAATCTAGCTATATAGCATAGAATCCTACCTTAGGAATGTTAATAAATATTAAGAAAAGATGTGTTCTAACTTTTCCCTACTCCTTTTCTTGGGTTTTACCAAAACATGTAGATTAGATTCCTGAGATTGGCGTTTGGTATGGACTTCTTAGTAGCCAGAGGAAGCTTTGAGTTTGGAATTTATTTCTGCAATTTGTTTTGCAAACTCTTGTTACATGTTGAGTTCTTTATTATCTGTGACAACTGTGCACCTAATTCTTTTCCTCTCACTTTAAACTGTCTATCTTGGTCCCTGTTCACTGTTATGAGGAGAAGAAGTATCTACCTAAGTCTGGCAAGTCAGATTTGTGACAGGATCAGCCATATCTGTAATTCTTGTGCTACACTGCCGGTAATCTGCACTAGTGTGGAAGGCAGTCACCTTGTCATTATAAGCTGCTGATTAAAGCCTGGGGTAACTAGGGAGCTGGAAGCGTTGATGGGGCAGAAGTCAAGAAAAACCAGCATGGATGAATGTCTACTTTTGTGCAAGGCACTGTGTTAAGAAATTCTCTTATATGTTAGGCAGTCCTCATAGCAGCAACACTATGAAGTAGGTACTATTATTATCCTTATGTTTCAGATAAGTAAATAGAGTCTCAAATATTATTCTATTACCTCCATTCTTAAACGCTACTCTATATTAAAGGGAAAGTGATCGAATTCACCTAGTTGCAATTGACAGGGGTTGGGGGGAGGCAGTCCTTGTTCCTTCATTTATGTAATAAGAGTGTTGGACTAGTAATCTCTGAAGCACCTTGTAGCTTTAATACTCTGTGATTCTGTGAATGAGAGGAGAAAGGGACAAGGATTTCCCAAGAGGGCCAAGCCTTCTTAAATAAAACAATTCATGTCCATTATCTGGGCCTCCAGAGCACTCTAAGATATTATATCATGTGAGAGTTGTAGCTCTTCAGTTCTCTCCCCTTAGAAAAACATCCTTCTGAGATTATATATAGTTTCATAGTTAATTACTTTAGTAAAACCTGCTAATTTCGTCTTTTTTATAGGATACAAATGAAAGCACAATTTTTGCCTCATCTGTATTTCAAAGAAAGTATGTAGTTTTATGAGTCAATCTAATCTGATCTCTTACCCCCTAGGCAATCTCCTACTTTAGTGCTGGAAAAACTGATTTTGTTTGTATTATTGAGGAAACCAGAAATCTCAGAATTTGGGAAATCCCAGAATTTAGGTTGAAAATAATGCATATTCTGATATTTTAAATTCTCTTTTTCTGCAGTAGTTTTTTAAATAATCGCTTTCTTGAGAGATGATTTACATACCATAAAATTTACCCTTTTACAGTGTGCAATTCAGTGTTTTTAGTACATTTACAGAGTTGTGTGGCCATCACCACAATCTAATTTTACAACATTTTCATCAACCTGAAACAGAAATCTTGTATCCATTAACAGTCACTCCCCCAGTTCTTCCCCTCTTCCCCCAGCCCTAGGCAGTCACTGACTACTTTCTGTCTCTTAGATTTGCCTTTTCTGGACAGTTCATATAAATGGAAGCAATAATGTGGCCTTTTGTGTCTGGCTTCTTTCACTTAGGCTAATGTCTTTTTTTTTTTTTTTTTTTAAAGATTTAAAAAATTTTTTTTCCTTTTTCTCCCCAAAGCCCCCCAGTACATAGTTGTATATTCTTCGTTGTGGGTCCTTCTAGTTGTGGCATGTGGGATGCTGCTTCAGCGTGGTTTGATGAGCAGTGCCATATCCGCACCCAGGATTCGAACCAATGAAACACTGGGCTGTCTGCAGCGGAGCACACAAACTTAACCACTCGGCCGTGGGGCCAGCCCTAGGCTAATGTCTTAGAGGGTAATCTGTGTTGTAGTGTGTCTCAGTATGTCATCTCTTTCTATTCCCAAGTAACATTTCATTGTATGGCTGTGCAGTGTGGTTTTAAATAAAGTAGTTTTCTAATAGTTTTTCTGAAAACCAAAAAACACAGCATAAAACTTAATTTCTACTTTGTGAAATTCGTCTTGCTTATATATAGTAATCATTGGTTTCCGTATTGTTATTACTCAGTATTGTTATTAGTCAGATTCTTAGCACTGGAAAATATATTAACGGTTTTCACACATAAAGATATAATTCTTTGTAAGAGCATGTTGAAAGATGTTTGAATCGCATATCTATTTTGTTATATTTCATTGTTTAGGTCTCATTTTAAGTTTAAAAGTCAAAAGTGAAATGCTTTTTCTGCTTATAACAGTACAAAAATATATATGGTCAGAGGCAAAATGTGCCCATAGTCTCATCCTCCAGATGTGTAACTAGTATTGGGAATTTGAGAGTAATTCTCTTTCTCTGTGCATATTGTAATTAATAGATATGAAAATAAAGATTTTTTACTGAGAGTTTTAAATGGTATCACATTACACCCATTATAACTTTTAATTCTGATATATTTTTTTAAGTTTAAAACCAGATGGTTTTACCTGTGTATTGTTTTTTGTATATGAAAACGTTTCCTCAACATTTTTCTATTGGAAATTTAGCCCATTATTCAGAGACGTGTTTGATTCTCAATCTCTCAGGTCTTTAGGTTTTTATTTCGCCCTTACTTTACAGTTTTCCAGCCAGCAGGAAACAAAGTGCTAACAAAGAGGCAAAGTGATTTGTTTCATCTGTAGTAAATGATTTAATGGAGGAAGAAGTTGAAAATAAACATTAAAATGAGATTGTGTTATCTGTGAGTTTTAATGTTTAACTATAAAGTCCTTTGGGATTATCTGTTTGCTTCTAAATAACTGACTCTGACTTTTGGAAACAGATTCTGTCCCATGTTCTTTTAACCCTACTCCCTCTCCCCACCACCCTATCCTCCAACTCACCTATTTAGGTTTTATTTCTGTTTTTGTCCCTCAAAGCCCTTGGACTTTTTATAAACTTTCTTAGATTAATTATAGTGAAATTTGTGCTTGGCTCTTCCTTCTCAGAGTAGATGATATGGAAATCTGAGTTGTGTGTGTGTGTTTCTTTCTTCTCATAGACTATTTTACATATTTTCAGAATAATTCCTTAGATAATCTACTGTTAATGTCTAATAAAATTAAAAATTTTCAAATCCAAGATATACTCAATTTCAGGTAACTAAATTAGATTCCATTTAAGCCTGTGCCCACATTTTTCTAGTCAGCATCTGCTTGTTGCCTTCTCTCCCTACTTGCATTATCGTGAATTCTCCAAGAAGACCAGTTTCTACATTTCTCTGTTAACCTGAGCCTTTTTCTCTAGAGCGGTTTTTCAAACTATGTTTGGTAAAGAACCAGTTTTTTTTTTTTTTAATTTCCAGTCTACCATAGACCAATATTTCTGTAAAATACAATAAAATTAGCTATGAGGAAAATGAAAGGCCTCTGTCTCCAAAAAAATGCATTGTGTAAGACCCCGGTCATGTGCCTAGACGTCATGGCAGCGTCAGATCAACAGTTTCTAAATGCCTGCTCTCAGCTTCTGTGCTTGTTTTGTCACAGACTGGCTTGTTCTGGGAACCACACTTTCAGAGTAGCACTACCCCAGGGCAATGGTTCTCAGATGTTTTGGTCCCAGAATCCCGTTTACTCTTAAAATTTGAGGACTCTAAAAAGCTTTTCTTTACATGGGTTATATCCATTACTATTTAATTAATTTAGAAATTAAAGCTGAGAAATTTAAAAAGATTTACTAATTCACTTTAACCCATTATATGTTATTATGTTTTTATGAAAAATAACTATTTTGTCGAGAAAATTAATGAGAAGAATGATATCATTTTACATTTTTGCAAATCTGTTTAATGTCTGGCTTAAGTGAAGACACCAGATTCTTGTATCTGCTTCTACATTCAATCTGTTATGATTTGTTGTTTTGGTTGAAGTATATGAAGATAATCTGGCCTCACACAGATGTATGGTTGGAAAAGGGGAAGAGTATTTTAATAGCCTTTTCAGATAATTGTGGATGTATTTCTTTGCTATTACACCAAAACTCAACAATTGGTCTGTTAGTTGCAGTGTGGAATCTGAAATCATATCAATAAACTTTTTGTACTTTGTTACGTTAAAATCCATTGGTTCTGTCTTGGGCTTTGAATGGATCTTTTACCTTTCATGACTTTGTAACATCATACATTGGCCATTTAAAACATAGTGGTTTACCAAGTCATGCATATCTTCCAAACGTGGACATATTCCTTTGTAGATATTTTTAAAAATCATGTTATTTAATATCACTACTTAGTTCATCAGGAAATTCTTTTATCATTGGGAAGTTGGAAGACTCAGGAACAGATACTAGTTTTCCAAAATTCTAATTTTTGCTTGAAAGATCAAATTTTATTATAGGCAACAAATACTGTTAGTTGTTTTCCTTGAAGTGACAAACTTGCTTTGTTCATTTTTGAGGAAATATCTGCCAAATGCTCAAGTTAAAATGACCATAGTTTTTTTTTCAGTCATTCTTTAAAGTAAAAATGGTGTTACATGAAAAAGTGACCAATTGCAACTCAAACGATCACACAAGTGCTTTTCCTCAAGATAACCATGGTCATGCTTCAGTATGCAAAAGTGCTTTATGCATACTTCCCATATCGTCACATGGAATATTAAAAAGACATGTAGCCAAGGTTGAGATTTAGTAAATTTAATAATTTTTACTGCTTCATTAAGGACATTAAGTAAAACTGGCCTTTTTTTTTTTTTAACTGCTAGTGTATGGCTGTGAAGAATACCACCCTAGTATAGTTTGGTGTCACTCTTTGCCTTTATTTGTGCTAAGATGCCAACAGTTTTATCCATCATTGCTCTTGTAGTATTAAGTGAAAAGTGTCAACAAAGTAAAAAAGACAAATCAGATCTTGATATTATTATGAAGGTAGCTTTGACCTCACGGGATCCCTGAGAGAGTCTCAGTGGCCTCTCCTCCTCCACCCCAGACCTGTATACCACACTTTTATTTAGCTAGAAAAGCAATTGGACTAACACTTGGCTTTTAAAAGCCTGAGAAAAGATTTTATACTTTTTTTGAGGAAAAATTATTTATTTATACCCAAATTTGCTTGTAAAAAGGTTTGAGGCAAGTAAAAATTAATTGTGGGACCAAGGTAACAAATCTGATAATTTGCAGAATTTCTGATTTTCTTTCTCTTAGAACTTGCTGTACTAATTTTAATCATTTGGGATGATTTTTACAGTAACTATTAGTTGTGTAATTGGTAGGTGTTGGATTATGTCTTTGGACAATCCATAATGTACAATTTTTAATAAGAGTAATAATACTAGGGAACTTGGGTTAGGTTCACGTTTTTGGCAAAGTGTATTTAGATGCTTATGTTCTGAAATGGTTAATAAGAATTTTTACTTACAGGTGCCCGGGAATATCACGTCCAATTTTTTAGCAACCAGCCAGAGAGGGCATGGGTTCATGAAAAGCGGGTACGAGAGTATAAAGGTCATAAACAGTATGAAGAGTTACTGGCTGAGGCAACCAAACAAGCCAGCAACCACTCAGAGAAACAAAAGGTAACTGACAACGTATTAACAGTATCAATCCAATATGGTTTTTAAAGGACTTAATAATTTAATGCTTGAATTCAGACAATTGTTAGAATGATTTGTTGTTTTCACTCCTTTAAGTTCAGTTTTAATAATTTATTGTAACTGTCAATAAGTTTTAATGTAATATAAACATTATAGTACTATTAAAAATGTTATCTTCTTAAGTCAACGTTGGATTCTATTTTGAATTGAATTTGTTTACATAAGTCTAGTACGTGCTAGTGAAATGTTGATTTTGCCAGGGATTTTCATTCTTTTTCCTATTTCAGCATCTTTCCATGATTCCCCTTTATTCTTATTTAGGAAAATTGTTCTATGAAAGTAAAATTTTTAAAATACTTAGTGAAAATCTACTGTGAGGCACTGTTTTAAGCATTTTTTATGTATTAATTCATTTAATCTTCCTAACAAATGGGGTAGATACTATTCTTCCTATTTCTACAGATGAAGAAATTGAGGCACAGAAAGCTTAAGTAACTGGTTCAACCAAGGTTACACAAGTGATAGAACCAAGAAATATGTTTGATGTAGTGGTAGATATTTTAGAATTTTGACATGAACCCCTGATAATCTGTCTGGTTGAGATTTTTAAACTCAACTGATTCTAGTGTGGGTCTCTTGTTTTTAAGAAATTTGTCATATTTTTGGACTTTAAAAGCTAAATTTTATCACACAGGATTTTGATTACTTTTGTCAGACTTAACATTTTATAGATTTATATATATCAGCATTTGACATATACTCTACTGCCTCATACTTTCATTAGCTAATTTCAGGCTACCTCAGTCTAACACCCTGGATAATTCCTAATTGCTTGGTCATCTCACATACCATTATTCAAAGTTTTCTTACCTGTCTTGCCAATCCAAAGTCTTCTGATCAAGTGTGTACATAGAGACCTGTGGACACTGTGATTCAGGTTTATTTTTTCTCTTCCACATTCCTGCTTTCCTGTGTCTTGTCAGCTCTCATTTGTTCCTCAGGGCTCTCTCCTTTCTCTTCCTTCTGCCCCTGTTTGCATTATGGCACAACCCTGCAGCACAGCTTCAAATGCTGGCTCTCTGCCAGCTCACTTGGTTGTGATCTCTTTAGCACCCCTGAGCTTTAGGGTGTCATTTTTAATGTTGGTGTTTTATTGGCCACTGAAAGTCATCACTTCTGTAATCTTTCTTCTCTTTGCCCTCATTATTGCTAGCTTTTTATGAATATAATGTGAGAAGGACGACTCCCTCTTTGAGGGACTTGTCCAGCAGAGTTGTCAACAAAGGACATATAAAACAGAGTGGACCTGCATGTCATCTGATAGTAATCCTGATTTACCCAAGTTATGGAGTTCGAACATTTCATTTATTTGACTGGAGAACCTGAAGATATTTATGTATACCTAGAAAGATGACAAGATCACATGGGAAATACATATTGTTTTAAATATACCTATTAGATTAAAGCATGTACGATAATGCCTGTATCTTTTTTCAAGATTCGGAAACCCCGACCTCAGAGAGAACGCGCTCAATGGGATATTGGCATTGCCCATGCAGAGAAAGCATTGAAAATGACCCGAGAAGAAAGAATAGAACAGTATACTTTTATCTATATTGATAAACAACCTGAGGAGGCTTTATCCCAAGCAAAAAAGAATGTTGCCTCCAAAGCTGAAGTTAAAAAAACCCGAAGACCGAGATCAGTGCTGAATACCCAGCCAGAACAGACCAATGCAGGGGAGGTGGCCTCCTCACTATCAAGTACTGAAATTCGGAGGCATAGCCAGAGGCGGCACATGAGTGTGGAAGAGGAAGAACCCCCTCCTGTTAAAATCGCCTGGAAAACGGCAGCAGCAAGGAAATCCTTACCAGCTTCCATTACAATGCACAAAGGGAGCCTGGATCTGCAGAAGTGTAACATGTCACCAGTTGTGAAAATTGAACAAGTGTTCGCTCTTCAGAATGCTACAGGAGATGGGAAATTTATCGATCAATTTGTTTACTCAACTAAGGTACCTCCTTTTCTCACGGGTTGTTTGGGGGAACAGTATTTAATAAGTAGTCAACTTTGGCATTTAAAAAAAAAAACAAACAGGGGCCGGCTGGGTACTATAGTGGTTGAGTTCCCACACTCCACTTCTGCGGCCTGGGATTCACAGGCCTGGATCCTGGGCGCAGACCTACACACCTCTCATCAAGCCAGGCTCTGGCAATGTGCCACATACAAAATAGAGGAGGACTGACACAGATGTTAGCTCAGGGACAATCTTCCTCAAGCAAAATGAGGAAGATTGGCAACAGATGTTAGCTTAGGGCCAATGTTCCAAAAAAACCAAACAATTCGAGGTCATAAGTTAGGTATGTATCCTCTGCCTTTGACATGTATAGTCAGTTTACTCTGTTTAAGATGGGGCAAAAAAGACATAGGCAAAAAGACTATGTTTTTCTTCTTTTTTTCCCCTCTTTTGTAATATCCCCATCTGTACTAGATTAATCTTGAGCTGTGCAGCCAAAATTGAGCTTTGCTCCCTAAAGTTGTGGAAAAGAACTGGGCACTTTGCCTCTTTCTACTTTGTAAATTTTTCTTAGTTGCAAAGTGTGCTTCTTATTAAATCATTTTTGTCAGTTATCTGAATTAACCATTGTAACATTTGTACCTGCTGGTCTCTTTGGTCACACCAGGAATTTTGTTAGACTCACGTTGGCTTGGGATAGCTAATGTATTTTATAGAAATACCAGAACTATATTTGTTCTGTAACAATTAACTGTGGTGATAGCTTGGGTAATAGGGTGAAAATGGCCTCTTCAAACTGAATGACTCCATCTGCTGGCCCTGGGCTTCCACTTAGGGCACTTACGCTTTAGCATTAAGACTTTAAAATTCTTTTGTAACATTTGTAACTTTTATTCCCTGTACCTCTTCACTACCCTCCCAGCCCATACTACAATTGTGGGCCTGTGGGCCCACACCGAATTCAGTTTATGGGCACCTCATGGATGTGTATTTTTCAAGAATTCTGTACTTGTTTCCTAACATTGTCATATGCTCATTAAAAACATTAAATATAGGTATGCCTCATTAGTGATATATTTTCCTAGAGATAAGTGTAACATCCTCTCTTAACCCGTTTTTGCCTATAGGTTCAGCTGATTTCAGTAAGGCTAAGCTGCTTGAAAAACCTAACTAACATTCTCCACTTGGTTCTGCTGATAGCTTTGAATAGCAAATGAATACTTTGCATTTTTTTAATCCAAATTGGCTTTATTCTTGGAGTTAGTTTTTATCTCTTTTTGGATGCACAAATCAAACTTTGTCACTCCCCCTCCAAAGAGTGCTAATTAAATGAAATTTGAGATAAAACTTATCTTTTAAAAATGAAGGCTTTAAAAATACGTAGATATGTATAAATCATTCCTTAATTTCATTGCATTAAAAATACCTAAAATGAGACAGAACTGTAATTGTACCTGCCTTCTCTCTGCTCCAAGTTGCTTATTGGGTGCACATTTTGGTACCATGAATGGCATATTTCTGTATCTAAGGATATTCTTGTCTTTCAAGATGTGTTGACAATTTTTTCTGTGTAGTAGGGTACTTTACCAAATAAAAATGACTAGAGTTCTCTTACTGTGATAAAAAGGGAGAGACTATTCAGACCATAAAATATTTTGTTTTTGACAGAAAATTATGTGGTACAGGTTCATTTTTGTGATATTCGTCATCTGGACTTAGACAAAGGTTTTTTTTTTTTTCACATAGTCTGTATGTTTTAGAATATGTCCTGATGACTTAATAAAATTGTTCTGATAATGACTAAGATAATAACTGTAATCGAAGACCATATAAAATTCAAGCAAATTATGATCATCTTAAGCTGTCTTTTATAAGCCAATGATGCCATTTGCCTGGTGATCACCTATTTTTTTTAATTTGCCTTATTTTGAAGGGAATTGGTAACAAAACGGAAATAAGTGTCAGGGGACAAGACAGACTTATAATTTCTACACCAAACCAGAGAAATGAAAAGGCAACTCAGAATATATCATCTCCTGAAACAACATCTGGTTCTACAGGTGGGTATGAATGAAGAGTATATAGATCCATTTTGAGGAGTCATAGTTCTGTTCTACTGTAACATAGTAGTTATGTGCCTAAGAAATGTTGGTTATCAAAATCAAATTATAGGGGCCGGCCCAGTGGCACAGTGGTTAAGTGTGCACATTCCACTTTGGTGGCCCGGGGTTCACCAGTTCAGATCCTGGGTATGGACATAGCACCGCATGGCAGACCATGCTGTGGTAGGCATCCCACATATAAAGTAGAGGAAGATGGGCATGGATGTTAGCTCAGGGCCAGTCTTCCTCAGCAAAAAGAGGAGGATTGGCAGCAGTTAGCTCAGGGCTAATCTTCCTCAAAAAAAAAAAAAATCAAATTATATTTAAAATAAACTATAAAAGCAATCATTTCAATAGGAAACAGTGGTTTCGGGGCTAGAGAGCTTTATTCATAGTAACAGTTATTTTTCCTGCAGGAATTTAAATAACAGGAGGGTTCTGTAATTAAAAGAGTATAGTTATAAAATCTATACATATCTGAGTAAATGCACCATTTGATTATCTCTCTTTGCATGAGAATAACAGCTTTACTTTTCCAGCACTATTAACACATTCTCACCATTTGCTCTTTTATCCACTATTGGAAACATATTGGTGCATGCCCATGCTCTTTTCTTTATTCTTAGCTAGATGGTAGTAGCTGAGGGGCCCTATTATAATCTGTACTCTGATTAACAACAGATACCATGAATTGAAAATCAAGCCATATTATTCTTGCTTAAAGGAGAAATGCCTAAGTTCACTAAGATTGTGCCTTTGGAATAGTCAAAGTAATTTTTATTAAGAGACTGACTTACTAAGGACTTTAGAGTTTAACTGAGTGTCTGGCAGATTTGGTTCATACAGCCACCAAGAAAAGAGTTAGAGGGGCCAGCCCTGTGGCCAAGTGGTTAAGTTTGCACGCTCTGCTTCGGCAGTGCAGGGTTTCACCAGTTCAGATCCTGGGTGCGGACAAGGCACTGCTCATCAGGCCATGCTGTGGCAGCATCCCACATAGCAGAGCCAGAAAGACCTACAACTAGAATAGACCAACTGTGTGCTGGGGGACTTTGAGGAGAAGAAGGAAAAAAAAAAAGATTGGTAACAGGTGTTAGCTCAGATGCCAATCTTTAAAAAAAAAAAAAAAAGAGATAGCAGCCAGCTTGGTCATTTGGAATCCTAGTTTAGGAGAAGGGAGTTTGTTTCACTTTGTTCTTTTAAAAATTTTTTGGAATCTAAGAAGTGATCAAATTATTTTCTAGAAGAATTGAAGTCTCACGACCAGAGGTAGTAATCTTGGATCAATGTAACTCAGGCAAACCTGTGATTGAGTGGCACTAAGGGGTAAAAATTTTTGTGAAGGAAATTTTGAGTAAGATTCTTATTATTATAAAAGCTAGAGAAAAACAATCATTGTTCAGGAAAGAACTAGAGCTAGCTTTCTTTTTTCTTTTTTGCTGAGGAAGATTTACCCTGAGCTAACATCTGTTGCCAGTCTTCCTCTTTTTGTAGGTGAGCCACCACCACAGCATGGCTGACAGATGAGTTGTGTAGGTCCGTGTTCAGGAACCAAACCCAGGTTGCTGGAGCAGAGCACACTGAACGTAACCTTTAGGCCACCGGGACTGGTCCATGGGCTAGCTTTCTTAAAAATGAAGTGATGGGGGCTGCAAGACAGGGAGAGGTGGTGGCAGAGGAAATGAGCATATGTTGGATGGGGAATATTAAACGGTATGCCTTTATCCAAAATTGGTTAGGAAAGGAAGCTGAATTCAAGTGAAGAGGGAGTAGCAAAGTCCAGAACCAGATTTGCAGCTTGTATCACTTCAAAATACTGTATAAAAAAGGAAATTAGAATGTTGAAGGAATGCATAAATGGACTTTGGAGATTTTGTGCTAATTAGCCGTAATCCAAAATGTTTGTTCTCTTCTTTGACTATTAAAAGGATCTTTTGGCCTCAGCTCTCCATAGTTAGGTATATCCGTTTTGTTGCCTTTCTTTACCCCAAACTGTTGGTAATTTGTCTGAATTTGAATGCAACACTTCGACTGGGAGGATCTTTATTTAAACATCTGCATTCTCCTAAGTAGGGAGAAAATAAGTTCTTCATATAATATTAGACTGATCTGAAATATTATACCTTTTTTTTTAATAGAACTTGTTTTTTCCTTCCCCTCAGCTACTAAACATTTTATTTTTGTGTAGTCTTTTCATCATAAGATTTAAGTTCTGTGAATTTCTTTTAAGTGATAGGCAAAGTGGAAGGTTATAATGCTTTATATCTGGAAAAAGCCCAGGTACTTCCTTAGATAGGCACACATAATTAGGTTGTAAATTAATGTTGCAACCTTAATTCAGGGATGAGTGCTCTGAAGCTTTGACTTTGATTTAAATTTGGTTACTAGCTTTGGTTGATAAGCCTAGTTTGTCTTTTTAAGTAGCCATTTTGCTTCTGGTGAAAATAACTTGAGTAGTTGAAAAGTCAGAAAAGAGATTTGATCTCCCTTTAGAAACCAACGGCCTCATCATCTCAGTTGGTGTTAACAGTAGAATTCTTGAGCCTTTTCCTGGTAGATTTAGGGGATACACAGAGTGTGTGCACTGCTGCATTTCTGTGGTTTGAAGAACTGTACTTGCATTTCTACAAGATTTCTAAGCTCTTTTCCAAATCCAGCGATGCTCACTTCCTCTCTCTCAGAGCATAAATATAATACTTCTTAGTGGATTTAAAGGTAGTAGAATTTGTGTGTTCTTAGGGAGCTTTCAGAATAATTTTAAGAAGTCATGTTGCCGTATCTTCTTTAGGACACTAGATCAAATTTCATCTGTATTTGATGGAACAATTGCCTTGTCATCCTCAAAACAAAGATCTTTGTTTTAAGCAGTTCAATTTTTATTTTCCTCTTCCCTGGTGGCTACTTGATTATTGATGATTATACTGCAGTATGGATCTCTGGGATCCTCAAGAGTCTGAGGGTAGGTTATCTCTTGTGTTAGTAAACATTTTCATCAGTATAGGGAGAAGAGGTGAGAGTAAAGGATGGAGCCAACACCTTCATTTGTGACTTCTCTGCTAGAACTTGATTAACCACAGCTCAGAACCAATATATTATCATTAAACTACCTACTCCTTCCCAAAAAGAAAAGTAGTGGGATCCTTCTTTGCTTTGGCTTTGAACTGAGGGGAGGAAGCCATTTACACATAGACAAGAACAGTGAAACCGGAAGATATCCAGGTGATATGGAATGTTTTATTGAAGTAGCTTCTGCCTGATTTTATAGGAGATCTTAGCAGTGTTCTCCTGTGGCAAGCAAAAGGTGATTATTATCTAAGAAGGACCATTTAGGTGGTCCAAGCTCTAAAAATATGGAAAACAGTTGCACTGAAGATGCCCTTCCTTCTCAGGGTCACAGAATGAAATCATTCCTGACTCGGTGTTCTTTCACATAGTGCTCTTCAGTCTAAGTTTTTTATCCTTTCCAAACTGGGGTCTTTGTGAATTTTCTTCTGTTTACTTTCGAAGAATTTTATTGGTTAAAAATCTTGATGATTTCTTGTTTCATTATTTAACATGAAAAGGTTGATAATTTGTTTAACTAGTTTTCCACGACTAATTATTTCTAAAATATAACAAGTCCCTTGATAATCAGTGATTCAGTTTTGATCACATTTTTGTGCATTTCCTTCTTTTTTCCCTTTGGTTGTTGATAATATAATAATAGCAAAACTTATGTAAGTGCACCAAGCACTGTTAAGCGTTTTACATATCGAGTTAATTTGATTCATTTGTTAAAATGCAAACTATGTAGTACTGATTGAATTTTAAGCCAATAGTTGCTAATGTGAACTGAGAATAAAGTCACTTTCATCCTCCCCTCAATCCCTTCCCCTCTTCAATTATAGTTACCTAAGTGTGTTCATCTGCTTTTAAAACTAAACTGCCTCTGCTAATCTAATTTGACTTTATAATTTTTAAAAATCCACTCCTTTATCTGTGTGATGTAGAGTCCTTTATGAATCCCAGTCTCAACCTATCAGCCTTTACAATTCGATCTGTAAAATTTTTTATGCTCTTAAGTGTTTAATAGCTTTTTAATGATTTATAATTAAAAGACCAAAAGTAATAGATAAGAGAAGCAGAGAATTTGGTCAAATCTTAATTACATTACTGTCAAGGTATCCTTAAATGAGTTTTTATTTGTTTGTTTAAATCATCTCCTAGGCTCAGCAGAAAAGAAGCAGCAAAGAAGATCAATTCGAACTCGTTCTGAATCAGAGAAATCCACTGAGGTTGTGCCAAAGAAGAAGATCAAAAAGGAGCAGGTTGGCTTCCTACCTGTAGAGAGTTAAAACATTGTATTTGTATATGTTGCAGCTTATATTGGTATCTTAAAAGAAACTTTCCCCCCACTGGGTTTCCTTTCTGGACTATTTTATGCTTCTGCCTGGTGAATTCCAGTGCCCAGTTCTAATACATCCATCTCTGTGATTCTGCTTCAAGCATTTTCACAGAAAAGAGTCAGGCTTCAGGAGATGGGAAGCCAGTGGTGCAAGACTTAAAGAATTCCTCACATTTATTTTGAAATTTCTGTTATGAGCAAAATGACTTCGTGTTTTCATGATTTTTATTTGGAACCATCATTGAGTTCCCTTTTTTTTAGTTTTGATTTTTGGTTTAAGCTGCTGGTATGTATTGTTTTTATTTTTTAAACAAATCAAATTAATTTAACTATAAGAGTTATATTTAAAAAACAGATAATCATAGATGATCTGGTTTTTCTGTTGGTATCACAGATTTTTTGGAATGTTATTTTCCCAGTGGAATGGCTCTCACCTGTTATTGGGTTATCAGATAAATGCTATTCAGGTAAAAAAAAAAAGAAAGAGGCATTTTGACGGAATGGTATTAAACCAGTATAATCAATGCAGTAATTTACATATTACCTTCTCAAAGCAAATTTTAGAAACCATTACTCCTTTAAATTCAAGTCACAATCAGAGTTCTCTTAGTTTTTTAAAATGAAAGAATATCCATTTTTACAGCCCAGACAACTGCTATTAAACAAAAAGAATTCTGTATAGTATTAGTTCCAATAAGCTTTATATTTTTAAACCACTTAATACGGAGAAGAGTGGACTTTTCTATTTAAATTATTTCTTTCATAATTTTAAGCTTCCAAACTTAAAAGATGACTTTTGTGGGTGCTCTGTGGTATCATCAAGCATGTAAAAAAATTTTCCCAAAAATATTTAACTAAAATTTAAGTAATACACTAATTTGTCATTCATCATAGTTAACTTTCATATGTAGGAAATTATATTCCAAAAAATCTTTCTAAGCTCTTGCAGATCTACAGTATTCACTACCAAAATAAAGTTGTGATTTTGCCAGCTGGTTCCCCAATTCAGTCTGTGACCAATCAGTTTAAAATTAATAAGCAGAATGAGTACAAAATTGGGACAAATTGTTAATGCCACTGTGTATAGTTAGTAGGAGAACAATACCAGTGATTGTTTAGAAGATTTTATATTTGTATTACTAATTGTATCTTATAAAAGCGCTTCTGTTGTATGTTTTTTTACCTGTTGTAAAAAAAATAAAAAATTTTTTAAAAAGTTTAGAACAATCCTTAAATATTTACAAAATGTGTTTCAACATGCATATTTCACCACATCTTAAAGAAATATAAAATTCAATTCCTAGCTTAAACAGGAACTCCTCCAAACAGCATCCTTTCTTTAATTCCAATGGTTCAATCCTCAAATTATCACGTGTTTTACATATACATTGGCAGAATAACTTCTGATCTCGCTCTCCTAATGTAGGATCAAGACACTGTTCATAAGACACTCAAGAAAGTGCTTTTGCAATATCACAAACTTATTTTCTTAAGTTTGTACTAGCAGCAAAAGTATTGAGCTTCCAGCTGTATGGAGCCCTGTAGCACTCTCTACAGAGAGGGTCCTGATTCCCAGCAACTTAGCTGTGAGTGCAGGCGCGGAAGGGTCTTAAAGTGGCGTGAGTTACATTAACCTGAGTATCATAGTAAGTAAAAATTTATCCTAACGTCTTTGGGGCGGGAGGGGTTTATAGCAACATCGGGGCTGGTTGCAGAAACAACCCCTCTCCTGCCTCCCAGACACTGAGGAAAGTATCTTGTTCTCTTCGTATACCGAGGGAATGGTGGGAAGTCTTTGCAAGCAAGCATGTGGCTGTGTGTTGTCACGTGGTATTCAGCACAGGCAGCTAGGATTTAAGCCCTCCCTGACCTCGAGACAGAGAACTCTACCCCGAAGATGGGACTGAGCTCAGATTGCAGATACATTAATCACTCATCATTACTTAGATTGATGGAATTATTATTTTTCCCTCTGTTAATTAAAAATGAAAAAAATTCTCTGTTAATGCTGTATTTTTCTGTCCAAACAGGTTGAAACAGTTCCTCAGGCTACAGTGAAGACTGGATTACAGAAAGGTGAGTTATTATAATGTTGCTTTGCATTTCCTTGATTAAAACCAATTTTAAAGAATTATTTGTACTTCATGTATTTTTGTTTGTCTCTGTAAATCATTGTTGTTGCTCTTCAGTCAATAATTTGTGTGAAATTGAAGTATTCCCCAGTGTTTGTGTGTGCGTGCGTGTGTGTATGACTTTTAGAGTTGATCTTATTCTGTACCTCCATGTGAAAAGTCTCATTTGTTTTGGTAAATTGGAGAACACCATGTAGACTTCATACTGTTTCCAACTTTTCTCCATAAGATTCTGGGGTTTCACTGGTTTATAAACTAGGGATGTGACGAATCCACTTTTTTTGGTATTCGACTGAATACCGAATAGTAGCTATTAATGTTTGTCAAACATGGACTATGACAAATCAGACAAGACAACCTGATTGAAAAAAATCTTGCCACGTCTATTTTTGCAGTGCTGTAAAATCTTTTTGTAAATTAAAATGATTCATAGCATATTTATGGCCATTATTAGATGATCTTATGCAAATCTATTTGAGATATGCACAAAGTTTAAGAAACCTTAAACTTATGTCTGTATTTTCTGTGTGCAATTTGACTACAGTACAAACTCCATAGCATGATTCGTGCGTTTTTGGTGAGATCATTCAGACTGTATTTAATACCTGTAGTTTACTCTGGGCAAATTGCATTATTTAAAAAAAAAAAACACCAGCCTCTCTGCATTCTCGGGGAGAAGTCTGCAGCGATGGTCTCCGTGGAGATCCTCAGCAGAACTGAACAGCCTCTCGGAGGGAACACTGCTTGGCGGAGCTCCAAGAAAAGACATCGCGATCGCTGCGAGATTAGGAGGCCTGATTGCGTTGTGTTTCCACCATTCCACAGGGTCGGCGGACCGGGGAGTGCAGGGCTCTGTCAGATTCAGTGACAGCTCCGTCTCCGCAGCGATTGAGGAAACTGTGGACTGAGATTCCTGTACAATTTCATCCCAGAAACTCCAGACTTGTAGTCTCCATGCAAGATTTCTTTGTCGGCGGCTCGATAAACAGTTTCTTTGTTTTCAATTTTGATTTTGCCAATCATCATTATTGGCATTTTCCTGCCTGGTTTCTTCTTCAAGACTCTGAACAATTGCTTTCACATTCAAATGATTTTTTTTTTGGTCTGAGCTGGATGGGTACAGCTTAAATCATGGGTCCAGCCTAAAAACCACCGTTTAACTTACACTGATCAATTTCAACATGGACTGTTTTTGGTTTTTGTTTTTTGTTTTTAAATAAAGCATCATTAATGCACATCTGCAGGGTTTTGCCAAACAGCCCAAACTGTATACATTACAATCATTAAAAGCTCTTATTTTTTTTAATATTAGTGCCGTTATCATGGAGAACAGCATGGCAGCTGTCTTTGGCAGTCTGTCATTTTTCTAGCATTTTCAGAAACTCATCGGAAATGGCGGTACCTGTGTTTCCCTTCGAAAGCCTCTCAGTACAGCACTCCTGTTCCTCTGTTAAAACTCCTTGTTAATCCAGTGATCTTTTAGGCCAAGGAAATATTTTGTGGTGGTGTTCTGGGTCCATACACCAGCAAAGAAGGAGATAGATTTGTGTACTTGTGTTTTTTAATCAGCGTTTACATGGGCAGGCACCCTCACTTATAGATGTAAGGAAACATTCAGTGAAAACCTTGTAGAATGGGATGTGATAACGAGGTTCCAGTAATCTGAGCAGTCTAAAGAGGCCACGCCCTCCACCACAGAACATGGCCATATGGCAAGTGCTGCTCTCGCTCAGCCTGTTACGGATCTTCATGGCCTCAGGAGACTTGCTTCTCCATGGTCTCTTCTGGACTGCACACTCCACCATAGCTTGCTGGGCTGATCTAGATGTCTGTTTGTTGTATGGAAATTTTGGGGGAAAAATCCAAAACACAAACTGTGGTTTGAAATATTAACCGTCTCCTTGGTTCCTTGGTATTCACCGTGCCTGATCTGCACATTTCATCGTGGCTGTTTCTGTATAGCCTATACTGCATTAGCCCAAGAGATTGTTGCTTTGTAACTTTTTGCACTATTGTTTTGGCTGGATTTGTATTACACACAGTTTTAAAAAAAAATTCCACACTATTCTCTGCCTTTTTTTTTTTCCATATTTATTCCTTCCCGCACAAATTCCACATAGAGGCCTCTCATCCAGCTCTCCGTGGTTTGGCTGCATTTGAACACTGATTGTTTGTTTACGGCCCTCAGCAGCGTGCCTCCTACATGGCATGACATGTGTAGATGTGCTGCCGCACTTGTTAATGATCACAATAGATGCCACTTCACCAAGGAAGGCTCAGATGGACGATTATGAACATCCAAAATTTATCTGGGGGGCAATAATCAACTGAATTGCAAAATTCGGGGGAAAATGGCACTATCCGTGTACGAATCGAATACAAATCAAAGATTTGTCACATCCCTAATAAAAACAAGATGGAGATGTCTCTGCGACCTATTTGTAAGCTACACAGTGTGTTGGGTTTTATGTCTTCCCCCTCCAAATTGAATGGTTCTCTGGATTGCTCCAACTCAATCAGCTATCCTGCAGTTTTGATAGAATTGGTTTTTAGGTTGGAACTTGGGTTCTGTTGACTGAAAATAGCTTTAGAGCAGGAGCACTGAATTAAATGTTTTAATAGAGCGGTTGTCAATGAAATCACTCACTCTCAGGAAGGTCAGAAGCTCATGAAGTTTTGACTCGTGACTTCACTGTTACAAAGAGAGCTGTGCTTTTCTTCACACTACAGATGAGTTTGGGGAAAGAAATTATTCTCCCACAAAACAATTAGAACAAACTTTAAGCACTATTTTAGGATTAATTTCGGTGTGTTGTATTAAGGTGCCAGCGAGATTTCAGATTCCTGTAAACCTCTAAAGAAAAGGAGTCGCGCCTCCACTGATGTAGAAATGACTAGTTCAGCGTACAGAGACACCTCTGACTCCGATTCTAGAGGACTCAGTGATCTGCAGGTAAATCAATGTGCTCAAGGGTCTGGGCACGGTGCTCTCTTTTGCTTTGCAAAACCAAGTAACATCCTGCTTTGCCTGACTTATTTGGGGAGAGTCTTTTAAATATTCATAGTAAAGAAATCATTTTGGTTATTTTTAAATTTATGAGTGTCTTAATTTTGCTGATTCCTTACATAACAGAAACATAGGTTGTTTTTTTAATTTTAACTACAGTTTCTCTCAAAACACCAGACATTTGGTATCCAGGGGTTTTGGAAAGAAAGGAAAAAAAAAAAAAGGTTATGCCAAGGTTTATTTGAGCAAGTCTTACTAGGATTTTCATAGCACCTAACTTTGAGGAAATTTGTTTTGTTTTTCTTAAAACTGTGCTATGTTTTCCACGTAGGTAGGCTTTGGAAAGCAAGTAGATAGCCCTTCAGCTACTGCAGAGGCAGACGTATCTGATGTGCAGTCTGTGGATTCGAGTTTGTCAAGAAGAGGCATCGGAATGAGTAAGAAGGACGCTGTGTGTCAGGTAGGCGGGGGACCTAGTCCGTACTTTGAAACAGTTGCTGTAATATTCTGCAAATAATATGCTTACCTCCTGTTGGAAACAGTAGTATCTTTCTAAATTATAATATTACTTTACAGCTATAGATCTAAAAGCCATTTTTGGCTCTTTTCTTCCCTTTCTAAGTTGGAATACATATTATTCACGTGCAAGTGCCAGTCTTTATTGTGCTACTCTGTTATTAATTGGAAGTAAATGACAGACGACTTATTTCAAAAATATTTTCTTAAATTTAAGTTAGTATTAACTTTTTTAACATATATTTACCCTCTTTAAAAAATACTGCTTTGCCCTGTGAAGAGAAGTTAAAGTATGCAGATTCCAAAGAAGGAATCATAAAAGATCAAATATGACTTTTAAACTTTATACCATATTGGTTCTGGAAATAGTTATGTAGTTCCGTAGGCCTCAAAGTGAGGGCCAAGGACCAGCAGCATCATTGTTGTCAGAATAATTGTTGGAAATGCAAATTCTGGGCTGCACCCCAGACCTACTGAATCAAAACCGTTGGGGGGGGGGGGGGGACTCAGTAATCTGTGTCTTAACAGGCCCTCCAGGTGGTTCTGATGCCTGCTAAAGTTTGAGAACCACTGTTTTTTTGCCATATTACAGGTGTGTGAAAGCTCTGGTGACTCTCTGATCCCTTGTGAGGGAGAGTGCTGCAAACACTTCCACCTGGAGTGCCTGGGATTGGCGTCACTCCCTGATGGAAAGTTCGTCTGCATGGAATGTAAAACCGGTGAGCTTACTTATTTCAATAGATATGAAAAGACGGATAGAGAGGAATGTGGAGTGCCAGGATCTCCCATGTCATCTGACTCTCTTACCACTTTATGTAGCTCTTATCCATCTCTCCCATAGGTATTTCAACAAATTGAGACCGTTCAGTGATTGGGCTTCCTAAGATCAAAAAAGTACTTAACAATATTAGTGTCAAATTTCCTCCTACTAGTGCCTTTACCATAAAATCTATCAAATTATTGAGATGTATTTGTGTTATCTAAAGAGCTATAGAAAGTATGTAGAGTAAATGAATTTTCAGATGAATCTGAGATTTTTGTGCTCAATAATTGTTTAAAGTCCCTTGTCTTTAATAGACTGGAATAAGTGTCAATGACAAACTATAACCATGGCGATTGTATTTTTAGTGGAAAGATGGAGCTACTGGAAATTGTTTTTAAAATATGGGGATTTTGGATTCACTGTTTATTTATAATATCCTTATGTAGACTACTACCTATCAAAATAATTTATAGAGAAAGAAATATGCAAGTTTATATCCTCTGTGTGGCCATGATTCTAGTTAAAGTCATGGAAAGCAGGAAGTAGAGTTGTTTAGTCTGTATCAAGGCAAGTGAAGAGTCAGGTGGAGGTGGCATGCAGTGCTTCTAGGAACCTTGTTTGTATATTCTGGGGGTTTTGTTTTTGCTGAGGAACTATCAACCAATTGGATATCACGTGTTTAGGATATGCTGATCTTACCCTTGACACTGTTATTTTCACACTCCTTTTCGCCTTTATTTGGATTCTCATAGATATTTTATCCTTTTTTATTTCACTGTATACCTCCTAAAATACTTTATATGTTCTAAATTCCATTAGAATGGTAATTTTTTTTTAACACTTACTATCTGCCAGGCCCTGTTAGTACTGAAATTTTGTCCTGTTATCTTATTTGATCCTCATGGCATGATGAGATAGATTCTGTGATGATTCCCATTTTATAGGGGGTGAAACTGAGGATGAGAGTGTGTGGTTTAGTACCCTGTCCAAAGTCACAAAGGCCTCATTGAAACGGCGATTTCAACCCAGGCAGCGCCAGACCCCAGAGTCTTTGCTCTTTCCCATTGCCTTCTACCACCCTGACTAAGTAGGATGGAGATCATGTATCATATATCCTAACACACACATACTCTCTCTCTCACATACAAACAAATGCCAAAATTAAGCTACAGAAGCTGCTTAAACATATAACATATCTTTCCCTATGTAAAATATCATTTTATTCATCATGTTTAGACTCTGCAGTAAAACTTCTGAACAGTTTGCCAACTGGCAGCCTCTGGGTCAAATTGTCTGCACATTCTTTTCTTTGGCTCTTACAGTGTGCTTTGAATGTGTGAACATGGATCAGGCGCACATTCCTGGTTCCCCATGTCCCCATCCCCTGTCACTCCAGTCATTTATGTAACCTACCTGGCCCCTTTAAGCACTTAAGTTTGTTATCTCTGATTTAATCTACTGATAGGAAAGACCATGTATCTCAGTATTAAAACATTCTTAGGACTTCTCTTTTAACTCTGGAATCCAACAGGATTCTCCCAACAAAAGTTAGATATAATCTAATTTGGTACACATCTATTAGGAAATTTAAGAGGGAAATTTGCTTTAAAAACAATTAAGTAGAACAAAGTTGGAGGATTCGCCCTGATTTCAAATTTAGTACAAAGCTACAGTAATTAAACAGTGCGGTGTTGGTGTAAAGACAGATGTATAGACCAATGGAATAGAATAGGGAGCCCAGAAATAAACATTCACATATATGGTCAGATGATTTTTGATATGGGGGAAAAAGCTATTCAATGGGGAAAGGACAGTCTTTTCAACAAATGATGCTGGGAAAACTGGATATCCACATGAAAAAGAATGAAGTGGGACCTTTACCTCACTCTATATATAAACATTAACTCAAAATGGATCAAAGACCATGACATAAGAGGCACAGGCAACAAAAGAAAAAATAACGAAGTGGACTTTATCAAAATTAAAGTACACCAAATGACACTATCAACAGAGTGAAAAAATAACCCACAAAATGGGAGAAAATATTTGCAAATTAGATATCTGATAAGCAATTAATTTCTGGAATGTATAAAGAACTCCTACAGCTCAAGAAAAAAAAAACAATCCAATTCAAAATTGGGCAAAGGACTTAAATAGACATTTCTCCAAAGAAGATATACGAATGGCCAATAAGCACCTGAAAAGATGTTCAGGGGCTGGCCCCATGGCCCAGTGGTTAAATTCACGCGCTCCACTGCAGGCGGCCCAGTGTTTCGTCGGTTCGAATCCTGGGCGCAGACATGGCACTGCTTATCAAACCACGCTGAGGCAGCGTCCCACATGCCACAACTAGAAGGACCCACAACGAAGAATATACAGCTATGTACCGGGGGGCTTTGGGGAGAAAAAAAGGAAAAAAAATAAAATCTTAAAAAAAAAAAAAGAAAAGAAAAGAAAAGATGTTCAGCATCATTAGTGATCAGGGAAATGCAAATCAAAACCACAGTGAGATGCCATTTCACACCCATTAGGATGGCTACTATCAAATAAACAGAAAACAACAAATTTTGGCCAGGATATGGAGAAATTAGAACACTTGTGCACTGTTGATGGGAATGTAAAATGGTATAGCCACTGTGGAAAACAGCATGGCAGTTCCTCCAAAAATGAAACATAGAATTACTGTGTGATCCAGCAATCCCTCTTCTGGCTGTAGACCCAAAAGAGCTGAAAGCAGGGACTCAAACAGATATCTGTATACCTATGTTCATTGCAGCATTATTCACTATAGGCAAAAGCTGAAAACAACCCAAATGCCGATCAGTGGATGAATGGATAAATAAAATGTGGTATGGACATACCATGAAATAGTATTCTGCTTTAAAAAGAAATGAAATTCTGATACACGCTACAACGTGGATGAACCTTGAAGACATTATGCTGAGTGAAATAAGCTAGTTACAAAGGACAAATACTGTGTGATTCCACTTACATGAGTTTCCTACTGTGGTCACATTCATAGAGACAGAAAGGAGGACAGTTCTTACCAGGGATTCGGGGGCAGAGGGAGAAGAGTTGGGGAGCCATTGTTCAGTGGGTACAGAGTTTCAGTGTGAGATGATGAAAACATTCTGGAGATGGATAGTGGTGATGGTTGCAAAATAATGTGAATGTACTTAATGTCACCGAACTGTACGCTTAAAAATGGTTACACTTCCAACATTTTAGGAATGAAAACTTAGACTCTTCAAACCATTGTTTAAGGTCATTTAGGAAGTTTTCTTTTGTTTACCAAAAGATAAACACTTTACGTGTAAAAAGTATTACAGGATACATACCTAATTTCTTATACTACCACTATCTATTGTTTAAGACAGATGTGATTTCTGGAAATGAAGCATTTTCATTTGCTCTTTTGAATAAAATATGTAACAGGCAATTTTACATATTGCTTACTTATTCTAAATGAAGGCTGTGTCCTAGTGAGAAAGGAGGGTCCTGGAAGCAGTCATATGCCAGAGCTCCAAACCTGAGTCCTTGAGGGCTGTGATAGTTCAGCTCGCTCTCAGCATGTGTCACTAGCTGCAACACTTTCCATTCATATTAGACTTACTTTGATCATTATGCAGGTGAAAGCCTAATTCATTTCTACATAAAGTAGTTTATGCATTAGGGTAACCTTTAAAATAAGCTTCTTTTAATTTTTTAAATTTCTAAAAGATTTTTTAAACAATAGTATTGCTTTCATATCTACATATCTGTTAAAATATAATTTGAAATTATATATACATGCAACAGGACAACAAAAAAACTCTGATATACTTTATTTCTACAACAAAGCCAGTTTAAAAAGAAAATTTGAACATCACAGTTGTAAATACTAATTTTAAAGAATTTTTATAGTTCAGCCAATTTTAAAGATTAGGTGCTTCCAAAACTAAATCTAACTTTCTATTAAAAAAATCAAAACAAAAAACTACTCCTTGTCTTTTTTTCTTCAGATTTTTTATAGCATTATAAGAAAAATGGGCAAGAGACTTGAACACTTCCCAAAAGATGATATCCAAAAGGCCAAAAGCTGGTCACTTACAATTTCCGTATGTAAACCAGATGTAAAATGAAAACTCATAATCCTAATAAAAAAGGCAGAAAATTGCAGCTAGACGTCTTATTCAAACTATAGACAGCTGAGGACAAAAAGAAAATATTAAAATTACCCACAGGAAAGACAATTACCTTGAAAGAATAGCAAAACAAATAACAAAAATGTTAGAATTTGCAGTTCTTTGTTTAAGACTAAACATTTTTTTCTGCATCTTTATTGACTCTCTTGTGAATGGTCTCTTCATGTGTCTTGTCCATTTGTGTATTGCAGTATTAAAGGTGTTCTTATTTGTTAGTATTTTAAATTTACGTCTAGTCTCACTAGTAATACATAAATACAATGTTATGGAAATATTATAATTATAGCTCAAGCTGCAGTCCCCCTTGATCATCACTTATAAACCTAGGCCCCTACCTAATTATAGGCCTCACCAGAGGTAGCGATTGTTAGCAGTTTGATGTGTAGTCTTGTAAACCTTTTCCCGTGTGTACGTATGTAACATTTTGTGTGTTTGGTAATAAAAATGTATATTGTTCTGCAGCTTGCTTTTTTCGTAAGTTTGTCTTGGAACTCTTTTTATATCAATATAGATGCATTCTATTTAACTGCTACATAGTGTTCCATAGTGTGCATATATCGTAGTTTATTTAATTATTCCCCTGTTGAAGGACGTGTAAGTTGCTTCCAGTTGTTTGCAATTACAAACAATGCTTCGGTCAGCATCCTTTTTCATGTACAAGTCTTCTCTAATGTAGGTAGCAAGGAGTAGAATTTCTAGGCCACAGGAAGTAACGTTCCTTTATTTTAATGGATACTGCGCTGTGCCGTCTAAGTTGGTTCCATCCAGTGTAAACTCCTGTCAGCAGTGTATACGAGTACCTATTTCCCTACATCCTAGTCAACAATTGCTGTTATTAGACTCCTTAAATTTTTTCCTATTTGATGAATTTTTAAAATGTTACTTGTGGTTTTAATTAGCATTTATCTGATTACTAGTGAAGCTGAGCATTTTTTCACATTTATTGGCTGTCTTTCTGCTTTCTGTAAATTGCCTCTTCATACCCTTTGCCCACTTTTACATTAGGCTATTTTGTTTCTATATTGATTCATAGTTCTTTCTAAGTTTGTTTAGCTACCTTTGCTTATATATGTTACGTGTATTTTCTCCATCTGTGAACTCTTTATATAACAAAACGTCATCCTTTGTCATCTTTCTTGCATATGTTTTTCCACATCTGTCTTTTACTTGTTCCTCCTTTTTTTCTATTCTGTTCTGTTCTAATTGGCATTATTGCTCCATTTAAATGCTTGGCAGATTGACCAGTGGAGCCATCTGGCCTTAAAGGTTTTTTTGATGGAAGGTTTTTAATTATAGTTTCGATTTATCTAATAGTTCATAGAACTATTCATACTTTCGTTTCTTTTTGTGCCAGTGTTGGTAAGTTCAGTTTTTCTAGGAATCTGTCCACTCATCTAAATTTTCAGATTTATTGGCACAAATGTAGTGATAGCCTTTTACTATCTTTTTAACATTTGTAGGGTTTGCAGTGATACACCATTTTTCATTTCTGATATTGTTAGTATTGCTGCTTTTTCTCCCTTTTATTATTAGTCGCTCTTGACAGGGATATCAGTTTTATTAATCTTTTCCAAAGAACCGACTTTTGGGTTTGTTGTTCCTCCCCATGTGTGGGGCTCTCACCTCGTCCTTGAAGAGCGCCTTCCCTGGATGTGGAATTCCCGCCTGTAACGGGTTCCTTCCAGCCCTGGGAAAGTTGCATCCAGTTGTTTTCTGGTTTCCGTTTTTCTCTTTCAGTCAGCTCTCAGTATTACTCTTGCTTCTTTGAAGGTAATTCTCTTTTCTGTGGATAATCTTAATGTTTTCTCTTTGTGCTTGATATTCTACAGTTTGAATAAGACATCTAGCTGTAATTTTCTGCGTTTTTTATTAGGATTATGAGTTTTCTTTTTGGAAATTGTAAGTGATTATCTAATGGAATCTGTCTTGTCTTTGGTAATTTCTTATATTTATTCTGTGTGGGGAAGACCTTGCCACTCTCAGCTCCCAGGTGTTGAAAAATTCTGTTCTGGGTTTTCTTTGGAATTACTTTTAGTATAGAGTGAGAAGTGGAGATCTGAATTGTTTTTAGTGCTGTATCTCCAAATTGATTATCAATTATTGTAGCAAATCAATTATTCTAGCAAAATTTATTAAATAATATTTCAATTTAACCATTTATTTTCAATTTCTTTTTATATGTTAAAAACTTACACATAGGGGCCAGCCCCGTGGCCGAGTGATTAAGTTCACGTGCTCTGCTTCGGTGGCCCAGGGTTTCACTAGTTCAAATCCTGGGTGCAGACATGGCACCACTCATCAAGCCATGCTAAGGTGGCATCCCACATGCCACAACTAGAAGGACCCACAACTAAAAATACACAGCTCTGTACCGGGGGGCTTTGGGAGAAAAAGGAAAAAGAAAAAATCTTTAAAAAAACAGAACAAACAAAAAAAACCTTACACATAATAGAGTTTCTTTTGAAGGTAGCTCCTTGCTGTCAGTAGCTGCTTCTATTTAAAAAGCATAAGCAGGGGCCTGCCCGGTGGCATAGTGGTTAAGTTCGTATACTCTGCTTTGGTGGCCCAGGGTTCACAGGTTCAGATCCTGGACGTGGACCTAGCACTGCTCATCAGGCCACTCTGTGGTGGCATCCCACATACAAAAATAGAGGAAGATTGGCACAGATGTTAGCTCAGCGAGTCTTCCTCAAGCAAAAAGAGCCAGATTGGCGACAGATGTTAGCTCAGGGCCATTCTTCCTCCCCAAGATAGATATATATCAAATATATATATCTCACATATATATATATATATATAAAGTCATATGCTTTATCAGATTTTATCTAATCTCTGTTCTTCGCCACTTTCCAGGGCAGCACCCGTGTTTTTCCTGTAAGATGTCTGGCACAGATGTGAAGCGTTGCTCTGTTGGTGCTTGTGGGAAGTTTTATCATGAAGCCTGTGTCCGCAAATTCCCCACTGCCATCTTTGAATCAAAAGGATTCCGCTGTCCCCAGCACTGCTGCTCTGCCTGCTCTATGGAGAAAGATGTCCACAAAGCAAGTAAAGGTAAAACACAGCTAAAAACAGGAACAAAGATTTTTTTAAGTTCAGTAGCAAATAACAAGCACATTATTTTAGAGAGCATCAGGCATTCTCCATCTGTTTTCTGTGGAGGTCGCAGCACTGCCACAATAGAGAGCCTGGTAAGTAGAGACTACGTCCTAATGCAGACCAGGAGAAGAAGATTCCGTCTGTTCAAAATTGCCCTTGGAAATTCCTTCGGCAGGTGCCGTGTTGGAAACCACCATCTCTCCAGCACTAGGGCAGGCAGATATTTTTTGAGTGATCTCCAGATGGGTGCTGCATTTAGGGGCCATATAGCATAGGAATGACAGAACCAAACTAGTGAAGAAAAATATTTTTATCTTACTGTAACCAGCATTGCATGGGAGCCCAGAAGAGCCCAACTCCAAAAATCTCATTTTATAACCAGCTGATGCCTGATTCAATAGACTCCCTTCTGGCTTGTCTTCACATAGGCCGCATGATGAGGTGTTTGAGATGCCCAGTAGCCTATCACACCGGAGACGCCTGCATTGCTGCCGGGAGCATGTCTGTGTCCTCCTGCATTTTCATCTGTAGTAATCATTCCAAGCGGAGCAGTAACTCTTCCTCTGCTGTAAATGTAGGCTTTTGTTTCGTTTGTGCAAGAGGTGAGTGTCAATCTTTTCTCTTTCTTTCTGAGTTCATTGGCATATTTCCCCATTAAAATAGTTTCATTAATATCCCTGAGAGAGATTAACACTCCCAGTAACTAGTCCCTTTTACAACATTAGACATTCAAATTGTTAGAATATTAATTCTTCCATAAATTAAGCTAGAATCTGCATTTTTTAATAATGTAGAATTATAGATAAGTTCTTAGTGTTTCTGTTTGGAGCATTGAACGATTATTCCCTTCTGCAAACAATTCTTCTTTCCGAAGCAGACTCTTCCCATGTCACATTCTTTAACTCAGAGCTTTCAGCTGATTGAAATTTCACTTGGAGGCAAGATGAGCACGTTTACTTTTTAATTGTTTCTGTTGTATTTTATCCTGCTTTGGTCTGGCGTTGAGGAAGCCCGATGGGATACAGCCAAGGCAACATATGTGGTGGTGGCAGCGAGCAGCCAGCAGTGAAGCTTTCTTACTTGCCAGCTGTTGACATTTAAGTGTGCCAAGAGATTGATCCACTAAAAACAATATTGCGTCCCTGAGGGGGTCAGTGAACTTGAGTTCATGATAAATAGAAAATAGAACTTCTTTACTTGAATATGATAGAGAGTAGCCAGCTTTACAGAGTATCTCAGCTGTATTATAATAAAACAATTTTTAGTATTTAGTAAGCATTTTAAAAACCAACTGATATCCCCAAATGCAGTTGTTTTTTCTTTTTTTAATATGAGTGCTACGTTTTCTAAACTTTCCTGAGTGTGAAATATTGGAGAGGACTCTGGCATGTCAGGCCTGTTCGATTATATTTAGACTATACTGAAGATGAGGTTTTTGGTTTTGTTTTATTTTTTGCTTTAGGGGACAGTCCTTTTAATTTGGTGAAAGTACTGTAAAGTACTCTTTACTAGAATTTCGGCAGTATGATACATAGATCTTTAGTTGTTTTGCTTTTTTATCTCTCATTTAAAAAAAAAATAACAAGAGGAGGTAGGCAGTAAAAGATTAAATAAATAGTAGTCCTTTTTGTAGCAGCCAGCTGAGTCCGAGGTATATAGTGCTTTCAGTTTACCAGAGTTTTGTAAGCATGTGGGGCTGTCGCCATTAGAGGGAAGTATTATGTCTTTCTTCACCAGAGCAGTTGGAACTGTATGCTGCTCTGAACCTGGCTGGGACCTGGAGGAGGAGGTCTGAAATGTTTCATGCCACATTGTAACAGGTGACAGAAAGGATTCAAATAGTCAAAAGAAATAAGAAGTCACCACAAGTGCCTTTTCCATCTCCCCAACCCTAGGAAAGTAATGATAGGATGGACATACTGAATTATCAATTGGATGGCTAGCTTTAGAGACTTTTAAACAGATGAGTGTCAGAGATAACAAAGTCTCTATCGCTGTGTGTTTTATTCTGTCATTCTAGGCACTTACTTTTACTAGGATGTGTGTATGTGTGTGTGTGTGTGTGTGTGTAACTGAGCCAACATTTTAAATACTGAGTTGATAACTATCACTCTGGTTTACTTTGGAGTACATTGTGAATCAAGTACCATCAGTCTGTTAACCAATATTTTCTTTTGCTCTATTTCATTCAATAACTGAGAGACCTTTAAAACAGATATTTTCCATTTAAGATAGGTAGAAAATGGCCCATTGTCAAGGAACTTAGTTTTGTAGAAATTCTAACCATTTTGTTAAGTTTAATTTATATACCTTGATTAAAAGCTTGAGATAATGGAAATGAGGGGAAAACCTATGTTTTAAGAAGGATCTGTATTTGCATCTTACCAATTTAGCAGTTATTCTGAAAGATTTGCCATATTTAAATGCCTATTTAAGCGAGATTATTTAATTCCCAAATATTTTGACTGTGAAACTTTGTACAGTAAACAAACTTATTCTAAATAGTTCACTGTTGGGATTTGAGAAGGTTTAAATCAAAAGTTTTTCAGAAGTAAATAGTGTGTGTTCTGGAATTAGAAAACTTAGCTTGTTTTTAATCCATTGCCTCATACAGAGTTTTTCCCTCCTCATAGAGGATTTTTCTCTTAGTTCTTGGTTATTGCTTGTTTAAAATCATTGAGCTAACTCTTAAGGACTGAACTATCTAGTAATATTTTAAGAAATGTTTCGAGGTTTAGAAGAGCACTGCTCCTCCTCTGGCCTCCATGGTGCCGTAGCAATGTCACATTTCAGTGCAGTATTTGTTCTGTAGTCTTTCCTTTCATCTGGAGGGTGGAGGAAAGTGAAAGTTACTTAACACTCTATGCCTTTCTTTGTAATGGTAACTTAAAATGGAGAAAGTAGGTTAGGGTTTTCTTTTCATTTTAATAACAGCAATTAATTTTGTATCTGTAAATCAAACTCTACTAGACACTATCTGAATGAATTGCCACAATTGCCCTGAGAAGGTAGTTCTTCATTTTATATGGATAAGAACACTGAGCCAGCATTTGTACCTTATCTTTCCTATTTCAAAGCCCTTTTCTTAAATACTACACCACTTTTCTCTATTAAATGTATGAAATTCATTTGACATTATATTTATTTAAAGATTAAAGATTCTTATGTTATTACCAATTAGCAATTTCAAGTTCATTCTGTCATCTGGGTCAGAGATATTTCTTGAATCTGTCTCAGGGTAGGGTAGCACCAAATGAAGATAACATTCACCGACAAAAGTAAATGGTAACCCTTTTAAAAGCAAAACTCTTCCCTCTTCTGAAAATGATCTCTATGAGACTGCTGTCATGGTTTCTGTTGTAAAGTCCCAGATCCTTATAAACTGACCAGTAACCAAATAGAGACATTTTCCCTGGTCTCACAGTTCCCTCCGCTTAAGAGTGGCCTGTAGCTGTATTATGAACTTAGCTGGGGAAGGGGGTGGGAGGGAGAGGGGAAGTGGTATGACCAGTGGGTTAGAGCAGATCTTCTGTCTTCCTCTAAATACAGTAGCTGTATTGGCAGATCAAAAGGATGGTTTTTATAAACCCTTAAGTTTTGGTAATCACTTTATATCATGGCAGGGAAAAAAATTAAATGGTTTGCATTACCTCAGTAAAGTTCAACAAATTATGGCTCCTTGAAAATTGTGTATCATATTGATAGAGAAAAGCTTCATTATCTGGCAGAGAAAGCTAGAATTTATTTGAGTATATCTCAAGATATGGAGAGAGAAGAGGGGAGACTCAATTCTGCCTTTAAGTGCTGCCTGAGACTTTGAAGGTGGATCAGGGTCTCTACTTACTATGTCATGTAAATAATTCTAATTTCTAGCAATTAAGTGATATGTCATTTTGTTCTTTGGATTGGCATCATAGTACTTCTAAATATTAAGGAATGTAGCTTTATTTTCCACAGGGGGTTTTCAGTATGATGTGAAATGCAGTTTACATCTTCAAATTAATTTGGAGTTTTCTTCTAGGTATATAGGTTTCTATGTAGGGCTGAGGCAGTGAGTAGCTGCAACTCCCTTTAATAACTATAGAAAGTCTTTTCTGTCAGATCTTTCTTTTTCTTCATATTCTCTTTTCTTCCCCCAACTTTACGCACAGCTACATAATAGGTGTCGGTTTATTTTTTTCCTCATGGAATCATGGGTAGTTTCATTGCAGCTCATCTCTTTCTGTTTGTTTCGTATAGGGCTGATAGTTCAGGACCATTCAGACCCCATGTTCAGTTCATATGCCTATAAGTCCCACTACCTACTGAATGAATCAAATCGTGCAGAGTTGATGAAATTACCTATGATTCCTTCTTCGTCAGCTTCCAAAAAGAAATGTGAGAAAGGTAATAATCAAAATAGTTTATATCTTGCTTTTATTTTTGCATTTCCTATTTTTTTCTCTTTAAATGGAGGGGGGAAATGTATGCCTGTCAAGCACCATCTGTTGCTTTTGGTAAATTCTACCTTGGTGGTTGTGACTGTGTCTTCATATGGCTGCAAAATTATTAAAAAGGGCTTAAAATAATTCCATTATTACAAATTTTTACTTACTCTCCTCCTTGAATAAATTTTCACACATTCTCTCTATCTGTGGATGATTAAAATTGAATGACTAGGATTTTGCTTACTATAGAAGACTATCTAAGGGCTCTTTCTCTTTTGCCTGATGGTAGGACTACCATTCATGTTAGAATAGAATAGTCACAATGTAATTTGTTACTAACTTTCAACTAAATAACAAGATAGGTTATTAAATAGAGGGAAACCAAGATACTGATGCTTAAAAATTTGATTTTAGACTATGTTCCATCATTTTGTTTCTGAAATATTTTTGTTAAGATGCTGTGAAAACTAGTTGCCCTTCTCTTAGAGACATCAGTGGGCAGCTGGGGAGGATACCCCAAGTACTGGATATTGAAAGATGGCCCAGATGACTTGAAGAATTGCTTGTGGATCATTTACCCACAGAGAACCAAGAGCTAAATGTATATTTATATCCTTCCAGTTAATTTAATCTATGGAGGAAAATCTTGTGTTTAGCTTTGCATAGCCTATTTGTAATAAAGGGAAAAAGTGGTTTAATAATAATGTATTATTTGGAGAAGGGTAAAATAAATTACCTGGAAGGTGAAGAAAGCCTTTCCTGTCTACATTCCCATTATGATCTGGAGGCCAGGTTCAGAGTCTTTAAAAACAAAACTAATTCATACCTAATATTCTAGGTATATTTGAAATGGGCTTTGTTGGTTTTTGTTTTTTGTTCTTTGTGTTGCCTGCTTGATGTTTCTTTGCTCTTTGTCAGACATCTGAAGTGGCAACTAATGACTAAAAGAAAGCATAGCAAAGCAAGGTGATCAGAACCTATGGAGAAGTAGGTTAGGGACAGGCTGGGCTTGTTTGTTTGCTTGTTTTCCAGTGAAGTCACGCTGTGTCGCCTTACTGTTCATACCACCTGCTTCCAAAACAAAGATGGGCATAGGTCTGACTGACTCCCTAATGCAATCAAGTTAGACTACTGAGGCATTTTAGGAAATGCCTTGTTTTCCTGCTGGCGCCTTTATAAAATGAGATTAATTCCATTACTGCTTACTCTGTTTTCAGTCCGCAGTATTGACCTTGACATGAACTGAAATTATTTTGAGCCCTCTGTCTGCCTAGCTTGGACCATGTCTTACTTCTTTCGCATCCTAAAGCAGTTTTCTTGCATAGCACCAAGGTGGATTGTTTGTATTTTTATTTTTCTCTTTCCCTTGTGTATTTTTTGTCAAAAAATTGTGATGATTTTCACTGATGATTCTGGGTCTGTATTTCCTCTGAAATAAGACTTAAAATTAAGGACTATCCCACAGTGTTAAAAATGACCAGCCTGACATTTCCACATCAGCTCTAATAATCACACGTCCTCTGCAGCTGTTTGCAAAGACTCCTCTCCTTACTGGTCACTCCTTTCTGATGGAAAAATGAATTATCTCATTTTACTTCAGACTCACAGAAGAATTTCCTAGCTAGGCTAAGAACACTCAGGCAGCTCACCTTTAGGTGTAGAATTGGAACAATTAACCATATTGAGATCTGCAGACAAAGGGAAAAAATCCCAATGATTGAAGCAAAAGCTTTTAAGCAGAGGAAATATAGTGATTTAATTCATCACTGATTGTACATAGATTTTCTTTTTGTTTTCATGTTAATCAGTTAGAAGTTTGAAAGTCTACAGAAAGACAAGATTTTCCGGAAAATTGATAGCAAACCCTCAAAAGGTCGGAGCATATGATTTGATGAAGTTGTGTAGAAAACCTTTTGCTTATGAGACTTTCAATCTCAGTGCAGTCATGGGTTACAGACCTGATGTTCCAATGGAAAGATGAAGTTTCTTTGCAATAAATGTCTTTATTGTATTTCATCTTCAGTGGTTAACATCCTTCTCTGTCACTTGTTGAAATACCTATTAGAAATACCTAATCCCCCCCAAATCTTTTGTTTCTTTGCATTTAAAAATACTGTTTTGTTTTGTTTGCTGCACCTGTTTTGGTCTTAATCCAGAGGTCATTTTGTGTATTTAAAAGGAGAGGATTTTGCTAGGGAACTTGGAGGGCTATCCTGCGTGTGGTACTTCGGTCTGCGCTGAAATTTACTTAGTTTTATGCTATAAAGCAGTGGTTCTCAATATGAAGTCAGAAAAGACTAATGTAAACAAGACTGTTGAACTGTGTTTAATATTTCAGAAAATCTAACAGAATCATACATTTGTGCAAAATAAGGTTACATAAGTTTCTTTATATTTGGCTATGATTTTAACAATATAATATGGTAATACTAGTTTTGTTATTGGGATCAGAAACTCTGATTGGCAGTTATATATTTATTTGGTTAATAAAAACAAGAGGAATTAATTGTTACTTTTAAAATCCAGGGGTTTTGGTGTTGTCTTTTGGTTGTGGGGATTTTTTTGTTGATAAAATATTTGAAAACGTATGGGAGCATGAGGAAGAGAAGGGGGATCCTTTGTGATGAAAACATGGCACACCACTGCTGTATAGCCTGTTTGACTCTATCTTCACTGCGAAGGTAACGATAATCACCAATTGGAGAAGTATGATTCTTTTGCTTTTTTTGTATTCTTTTATTGGAAGAAAAAAACTACTGATCAACATATTGGCTGTTGTCATTTTTGCTAATTTTAGTATAAAGGGATTTAGTTACCTGTGGCACTGGATTAAAATACAAAGTTAGTCATTAAAATAAAATGACCACTGTTGCTTTCTTAGCTCTCAAAGAGAAAAGAAAGTAAATTGCTACATATTTCTTTGAAAATCTGCTCTCAAGTCTACTCAGTCCAGAGATTTGATGCTTCTCATTTTGTCATGTATTAGGAGTTGTAGCTGCCTGCTAAACTGATAGCTTGAAAGCCCACATTTTAGACGGGTAAAGAGTACAGTGATGTTTTCCTTACTAAGAAGCGTTTGAGTTTCTGACCACTGAAGCCCTGAAAAGGGACTGAAGGAGCTAAATCTGTTGATTTGCTTTCTATTTTAATCCATTGCTATAGGTGTGACTCTATTCCTTTGTTATTTTCCTCCAATTTGAATCAAATTCAATGCACTTAAAAGACAACTTTCTCCTTTCCCTCTCCTCTTTTCTCAGTTACTAAGACTTGTTATTTGTTTCAAGGTGGAAGATTGCTCTGCTGTGAATCCTGCCCAGCTTCCTTCCACCCGGAATGCCTGAGCATAGAAATGCCTGAAGGCTGCTGGAATTGCAATGACTGTAAAGCTGGCAAGAAACTGCATTACAAGCAGATTGTTTGGGTCAAATTGGGAAATTACAGGCAAGTTTTTCCAAGGACAAAGAGGTAGTATTCAGTCTGTTTCGACGTAGATTCCTAGTCCGTATACAAAGTGGCTAGGAGAGACACAAAGCAGCACAGAGTACTTCCTTAGAAAAAGAAAGAGAAAAGAAACATATTTTGAGTCTGGGTTTTTAGACGATTGGGAAGGTTAGTTGTTGGATTTTTTTTTTTTTTTTGATTGGTTAGTTGACTTTTTAACTGCTGAAAGTTATTTTATACTAGTGAACTATATACTAGTAGATTTTGGAATAAAGGTCTTATGTGGATAGTGGGGAAGATGTTTTCTCTGTATCCTAATTAGATTTATATTGATTTCTGATTTCTAATAAAGTCAAGAGTTTATATCCCGGTCAAAATAGCTGTCTTTGTTCCTGGATCTGGCCCATTTTAGTTCTAGCTAAAAGCTCTAAACTGTGTACAGAGAAAGAGCTTTGTAGAATTTAATGAGAGAGATTATTTCATTAAGAGCCCTTAGTTTTTAAGGGAATGAAGTAAGAAGTGCGTGTGATTGCCATTATTGTAAGAAATCTTTCTTCTTTTAGGAAGCCTGTTTTTAACAAGCCTTCGCCGAACAGGAATTAGCAATATATTTTTAAAACTCTGCGTTCTACATTTTGAGGCATACATTTATCATTTTACTAAGAAAATAGATACTCTTCAAGAGAGCACAATAGAGTTCTGCTTTTCAATTAGAATTCTAAGTAAAATATATTTCTATAGAATTTCAAACGCAATTTTTTTTAACAAGGACTATATTGTTTGCTCTGTGTGTTAAACACAGGTAAGCTGCTTGCTTACCTAATTAACTTTAAAATTTTTGTTTTTAGCTGAGAATAAGGGGTATTCAGGTTGAGAAGCCACCCCCCTACAGTTTTTTTTTTTTTAACATATGACAGGAAACCTCCAAGTCCTAAAAAAGAAATATTTGACAGTTTGAATACATAAACAGTTTTATACTGTATGGCAAAACATAGTTTTAGAAGGCAGATCTCAAGCCAGGGGCACGTATTTGCTCTTCTGCTTTCAATAAAAAAAGACAAATACTTTACCTAGAAAAGGGGGCAAAGAAGAGAAAGAACCAGTTTGCAAAAGAATAGCAAATAGAAAATAAACATGTGAAAAATGCACAGCCTCACTAAAAATAAATGTATGTTAAAAACAAGGAGGGGAGGCCAGCCCCGTGGCCGAGTGCTTAAGTTTGGATGCTCCGCTTCGGCGGCCCAGGGTTCGGATCCTGGCATGGACACGGCACCACTCGTTAGGCCATGTTGAGGCGGCGTCCCACATCCCACAACTAGAAGGACCCACAACTAAAATATACAACTATGTACTGGGGGGATTTGGGGAGGAAAAAGCAGGGAAAAAAAGAAGAAGATTGGCAACAGTTGTTAGCTCAGGGGCCAATCTTTAAAAAACAAAAAATGAGTTTTGGGGCTGGCCCAGTGGCGCAGTGGTTAAATTTGCACGTTCTGCTTCAGCAGCCCGGGGTTGGCCAGTTCAGATCCCAGGTGCGGACCTATGCACTGCTTGTCAAGCCATGCTGTGGCAGGCATTCCACATATAAAGTAGAGGAAGATGGCACAGATGTTAGCTCAGGGCTAATCTTCCTCAAAAAAAACAGTGTTTTTTTAAATTAACAGACTGGCAAAGATTTAAAAGATTAATAATTTTGGGGAAACAAGTGCTCCCTGTAGCGAGGTCTGACATCACGTATTAAAATTGTAACTGTGTATACCCTTCAAGGAATTTATCTAAGGAAAAAAAATTGGACAAGCAGGCAAAAATGTATTTATGGGGGTGTTCTTTGCAATATTATTTCTAATTGCAAAAATTTGAAATAACCCAAATAGTCAGATAGTAGGGGATTTGTCAAATAAATTATAGTGTATCCATATTGTAGAATACCTTGGAGTCAGTAAAAGGATAAGGCAAGTCTGTACAGTAAAGGAGACAACGTCCAGAACATCTAGTTGAATTAGAAAGCATGCTTAACAGCATACAAAGTGTCTTTCCATGTGCTTATACAGTTTTTTAAGATTGTAGATCTAGATATAACATATTTTTAATACCTGGAAAGAAATACTTCTAACGTTTATAGTCTGAGGCATGAGATTACAAGGGGAGGCATTTTCAATCTTTCTGTTATATATTTCTGCATTGTTTTAATTTTTAAAAGAAACACATACTGCTTTAATAATTAAAAATACATATCTTTCTGGAGTGGGTAGAGGTTCAGGTTTGACAATTTAAAGAGAAGACATTCCTGGATAAGAAATATCTAAGAGGAGCCGGCTCTGTGGCCGAGTGGTTAAGTTTGTGTGCTCCGCTGCGGCGGCCCAGGGTTCGGATCCTGGGCGCGGACATGGCGCCACTCGTCAGGCCACGTTGAGGCGGCGTCCCACATCCCACAACTGGAAGGACCTACAACTAGGATATACAACTATGTACGGCGGGGGCGGGGTGGTTGGTTGGCTAGATAAAGCAGAAAAAAAAAAACGTTGGCAACAGTTGTTAGTTCAGGTGCCAATCTTAAAAAAAAAAAAAAATCTAAGAGAGTGTAAGAAGCCTTCAGATCTTCAAGTAAATTTCAGAATATTTCCTTTTGTTCATTTTTTTATTTTTGGCTTTTTTTGAGATATGATTGACATAATGTTGTCTAGTTTCAGGGTAGTGATTCGGTGTTTCTGTATGACCACCACAGTAAGTCTAATTGACAGCCATCACCAGACGTAGTTACAAAAGTTATTTTTCTTGTGATGAGAACTTTTAAGATCTACTCTCTTAACTCTGAAATATACAATACAGTATTATTAATATAGTCACCGTGCTGTACATTATATATTTCCTTTTTTAAAAAAGTTATGAACATGAAAATATCTTTGACTTAATTTAATTTTAATACTTAAATTTCAATCACATTGCATTTTAAAGAAGCGCCAAGCAGCGCTCCAGCTCCCAGCCCAGTGAGACTTTATATGCAGGTCAGATGATGTTGCATGTTTTGCAAAGGCTCCCAGCCTTGAGCTAATAATGTATTTTTTTCCAGGCAGGCCCAGCTGGGCCACATGATGTTGTTACTTTTCAATAACTGTTTACTCCAGTGTGAAGTTTCCTGGGGGAAATAGGAGGACCTAGAACAGCCCCGGGGAGAAAGTGTGCCTCTTCCTACCTGACCCAGTGAAGGCTGTCATCGCGTACATACTTAGCTACCTTAAGATGATATAGAAATAAATAACCATTTCCTAGCCTACTTTGAAAGGAAACTAAATACTGATTACACAAGATAGTGTTGTTTTGTTTTATTTTAACAACTTGAGCACAGACTCTTACCCACGTTTTTAATTAATTCTTAGACGGACAGCAGGGTACCTTTTAGATGAAGTGTATTCAAGTTCTGCATTATAAAGCTGGGAATGTGACCGTGCCATCATTTATCTTCTAAATAATAGTTAATTAAATAAATGGTTTTATTAGGCGTATGTAAAATAAGAGACTGAAAAATTTTAGTCTTTGTGTATTTACTGTTCATATTGATGATCTTATATCTACAAAAGCTTCGCCCTTCAATTCCTGACTTGCCCAATTGCTGGAAACTGCCCCGTGCGCCTCACAGATGGCTTCGTTTACTGACGGCCGTGGTAGTCATCACTGCATGAGACAGTTATGTTTTCATGCTGACCCATATCCCACGTTTATGATGATCTAAAATGAATTAGATTCTGAAATACACACTGGTATAAACCTAGTACATTTGACCAAAAAGTCTTTCCCCTGGTTGATTAGAGCGTCAGAAAATACTAGTTTGAATGGGAGTGGTCATTCTTTTTATCGCATCAGTTTATTCTTAAATGATTCCCTTGACTACTAGAAATAAACTTTTACAGCTTGAAAGACAATCTTAGTATTAAGAATGTCAACTTTGGAGAAAAACATGACTTTTCTAGTACTGAAATTGGGTTTGGAATAGTATTGGTAAATTGTAATTCCTAAGTTGGGTAACAAGTTCATTATTTTATTATTATGCTTTATAACTTGAATTCTCATGATATATATTCTTCTATAAATATCAAATACTAATTTTTTAAAGAAAAATTAGATTGGATGTTTAGGACCTCGTTGGTTTAGTCTGTGTTCACTGCTTCATTAGTTAATTCATTAATGAATATGTTTTTCAAAGATGTGTGGTTTGGATAGGATTAAAGATAGGGTGTTTTATTCCTTAGAATCTGAATGAAAATTGTAAACTACAAAACCATTTTTTCCTCCTGCGACAGCCATGTAAAGAATAGTGTGATTTTCCATCTTCCTGGTCTAAAATTGCTTTTGTTTTCAGATGGTGGCCAGCAGAGATCTGCAACCCCAGGTCTGTGCCACTCAACATCCAGGGCCTTAAGCACGACTTGGGGGACTTCCCTGTGTTCTTCTTTGGTTCTCATGACTACTATTGGGTACACCAGGGCAGAGTGTTCCCTTATGTTGAAGGAGACAAAAGCTTTGCTGAGGGACAGACTAGTATTAACAAGACCTTCAAAAAAGGTAAGTTGGATGATGTTTACGGTAGCTCAAAACTGAGATTCCAGTGTTGATTGCTCAACATCTGCTGAGTGGCATATGGCATGTTTCTGGTATTAGAGAATTTTCACCAGGTGTTATGATCCAGCATCTGTAAGTTTCCAGTCACATTAGAACCACATCAGAATCCAGTCAATTAAAGAAATACTTTTCAATATGGTAGACTGTACTGCATATATGAAAGGAGCTTCTTCAGTGATCTTTCTACAAACGTAGAGATTATTCTGGAAACAGTCTTTTTGGGAAGTGAAGCTCTTTTGCTACCGAAGAGCAGTAAAAGCTTCCCATGAAGACCCTTACAGCTGTTTTTGCACTAAGTGGCCAGGAAGACAGGCTTTCTGGGTAAGAGTCAAATGAATGTAAATCTCCTCCAAGGTAAAAAGCTGCTCTTCGGTTCACGTGGAAGCCTCTGAGCATTGGAGTAGGCCCTCATCTCTGGGGCAGCAGCTTGCACACACCACAGTGTTCAGCCATAAATGACTTACATCCTAGTTCAGTGTTACCCTGTCCTGGTGCTAAATGGTTATTTCCGGAATATAATTTTTAAAAGAAAACCCCAGACCAAGGTGCAGTGCAGGGGGAAGGCAATGTGAAACTACTCTCCTAATGGTTTTTGTTTGGTTGTTTTTTGGTCTTTATATACTTTGTTTGGTCTTATTGGCAGCACTGGAAGAAGCTGCAAAACGTTTCCAGGAATTGAAAGCACAAAGAGAAAGTAAAGAAGCACTAGAGATTGAAAAAAGCTCAAGAAAACCCCCTCCTTACAAACACATCAAAGTGAGTCTTCCCCCGTGAAAACATTGGTATTTGACAGCAAGATGAAATGCATTACACTCTTGCTACAGTCACGCGCTGCATCACGACATTTCGGTCAATGATGGACCCGGTAAACGATGGTGGTCCCATAAGATTAGTACCATAGCGCCTCGGTGTGTAGCAGGCTAGACCATCTAGGTTTGTGTAAATATACTCTGTGATGTTTGCATGACGACGATGAAATCACCTAATGACGCATCTCTCAGAACATGTCCCCGTCAATTAAGCAATGCATGGCTGTAGTTAGAAGGCCCTCTTTGACTTGTGAAAACTTTTGCTAATTATCACCCAGTCTTCTGTAAAACAAACTGAGAGCTTTTCTTGGGAGCATCCAGTGGCAGCATGGCTGCCTCGCTGTGAGGATGAGAGCTCCAGTGAGCCCGCTCGGAGCTCAGGGCAGCATGATTGCTGTGAGTCCTGTCCTTGCTCTGCCAGGTTATCCTGCAGCCAGACGAGGATACAGGGATTTAGGCCCTTTCTTCCAGAGAGCCCACAGTTGTTTTCAGTTATGGAATTTCCATCAACGGGTAGAAGAAGAAATACATGGGATAGATAAGTGAGAATTCGCATCAGGTTTTGATATTTTTGTCAGCTAAGGAGAGGCAGTTGCTATTCATGGCTTACTCATGGGGAAATTAAAATTAGAGAGCCTCTCTCAGAGTCACACCACAAGGCAGTGGCAGAGCCAAGAATAGCATGGCTCTTTCTGATGTTCCTGTTCAAATTCCTCCCTCCTGTTTGTGATTTTGTTTCCTAGGCTAACAAAGTAATAGGAAAGGTACAGATCCAGGTTGCAGACCTGTCCGAGATTCCCCGCTGTAACTGCAAGCCAGCGGATGAAAACCCTTGCGGCTTGGAATCAGAGTGCCTGAACAGAATGCTGCAGTACGAGTGTCACCCGCAGGTGTGCCCGGCTGGGGACCGCTGCCAGAACCAGTGCTTTACAAAGAGGCTCTACCCCGACGCAGAAATCATCAAAACAGAGCGAAGAGGCTGGGGCCTCAGGACCAAAAGGAGCATTAAGAAGGTAGCATGGGATGGGGTGGCGGTGGAGATGGAGGATCAGGACCCAAGACTCTTAGAGATGTGTCGAGGGACAAAATATATAGGGATTTATGGCAAAAGTTTGAAACTTTCCAAGTTGAGAGTTTACTACTTCTTGAGCAAAGAAAAAGCAGTAGGAAGAAGTAGTAATAAAATGCACATAAACTCTGGGTGTCCTGTGATTAGCCATAAAAAGGACAGGGGCATTGGTTCTTTTCGTTTTTTTTTTTTCCCTGCTTTATCTTCCCAACCCCCCGTACATAGTTGTATATCTTAGTTGCAGGTCCTTCTAGTTGTGGTATTGGTTATTTTCTATTTGAAATATTTTTTACTTTTAAGCAAAATAGATTTAAAAGACTTAGTAAAGGAAAAATAGTAAAACTAAGAACATACTGGGATAGAAACTAGCAAACCCAGGACTTCGCTCCATCATAATTCATTAGCCATGAAACCATGGCCAAGTCACGTAAGCTCCCAGATCCTCAGTTTCCTCATCTGTAAAGTGGACATCATAATCCCTGCCCTACATAGTTAAGGGTCATTGCTAGATTCACATTAGAGTCTGTGTGCAAAAGCAACTGGAAAAAGTTGAGATCTTTAGCACTTCTCGATTATCTTCATTCTTATACTTTGAGGCAGTTTTTTAAAGCAGTCTCTTTGTTTTACACAGGAAATCCATGCCTGTTGTAGAAAAAATTTTAAATGCAAATAACTCAAAGAAAAACAAAAATCACCAGTAAATTCCACTGTTCAAACAGTGACTCTCAAACGTGAGAGATCCTGAGAATCTCCTGGGGCTCAGTAAACAGTGGCTTGTGGAACTATCTAGGACAGGCCTGAATAATTGGCATTTTAAACCAAGTCCCCACCCTGCCCCCCCAACCCCCAACTTGCCTAATGCCAATATTTGGAAGCTGGAGATGTATTCGCTGAGAGAAGATGGACCTAGTGGGAATTCAAGTTACTCTGGACATTTTTCTCCCTTTTTAAAAAATCACCTTTGTAATTAAAAAATACCATTTAATGTAGTAAAGAAAATCAAACAATACAAAAAGATGATAAAGCATGAAATTCCTCCTTTATCCCTTCATTCCTGGTCTCCTCACTGGAGATGACCATTGTTAATAGGTTGGTATGTAGCCTTTTAGAACTTTTTCAATGCAATTGTAAACATAAACACATGTATACATATTCTTATATTCTATATTTGTAGAGTTTTTTACACATAAATATCATGCATATTTTTCCCACTTAATGAGTATATCATAAATATATTTTTATGGCAGTACATACAAGTTTGACCTCATTCTTTTTTAACAGTCTCATTATATTCCATAGTAAACTGTACCATAATTTAGCTAACCTATTTTCCAATAAATTTATATATATATATTTAACTCTTTAATGGACATTCTTGGTCACCTGTCTTCATGCACCTTTTCCTATAGGTTGAAACTCATTCGTTCAGCACATATTTGATAAGCTGCTTTTATGCACCAGGGACTATTCTAGGCACTTGGAAAACAATAGTGAACAAGACACCTTTGTGGGTCTGCTAGAGATGGGTAATAAACAGATATATAGTGTTGAGTACCACTAAAAGCTGCAAAGAAAAATAAAGCTGTCAAGGGGATAGCTGGTGACAGGACTGCTGTTTTCAATTGATTGGTTAAGGAAGGCCTGAAGAGGTGGCACCTGACCCAAGCGTGTCAGGGGAAAGCCATACAGATGCAGATGGAAGAAGAGCTTTTCAGGCTCAAGACAAAGCCAAGGATAAAGGTCTTAGCATGCTCCCAGAACAGCAAGAAAGTGAGTGCACCTGGAGAGCAGTGACAAGGAGAGGAGTGGGTAGGTAGGAGATGAGATGGGGGAGCCAGGGGCTAGATCACAGGGGGCCTTGTAGGCCACAGGATGGGAAACTTCTGGAGGATTTCAGTAGGGAGTGACTTGACCTGACGTGATGCAGTCATTTTTTATTGCTGCATAACAATATTACCACAAGCTTGGCAACTTAAAATGTAGCATACATTTTATGATCTCACAGTTTCTGTGAGTCAGGAGTCTGGGCAGTGCTTAGCTGGGTTCTCTGTTTAGGATCTCACAAGACTGCAGTCAAGGTGTCGACCAGGGCTGGATTCTCCTTGTGCCTCAACTAAGGAAGGACCTGCCCACCTGCTTGCGCGGCTCTTGGCAGAACTCTGTTCTTCACAGCTGTAGGTCTGAGAGCTTCAGGTGGTTTTCCTTCTGGTTTGTTGTCATCGTTGTTGTTTTGATGCTTTTAGCTTCTACAGGCTGCCCACAGTTCCTTGCCAAATGGGGTTCCCCAACATGGCTATTTGCTTCCTTACAGCCAACAAGGGACAGAGACCCTCCAGCAAGATGGATGTGAAAGTCTTAATGTAACAAACTCAAGTCATACATATGTCCTGTCACCTTTGTCATATTCTCTTGGTTAGAAGCAAGTCACAGGTCATGCTAACTCAAGGGGAAAGGATCACACAATGGCCCGAACACCAGGAGGCAAGGATCATGGGGGCCACCTCAAGTGTCTGTCCACCATACTTAGGTGTCAGAAGAATAACTTTGACTGTAGTTTGGAGAATTTATGATAATGGAGAAAGAGTGATGAAAAGGAGACCATGATAGTCCAGGAGAGACATGGCGAGGCGTGGACCACTAGGGTTAGAGTTGAACAGGAGAGGAGTGGTTAGATTTCTGACATTTTGAAGGTACAGCCTACAGGATGTGCCAATGCGTTGGATGTGTGGATTGGGTTGCTTGGTCCAAGGCCATCTGCATTTCACATATTGTTGTATAATGCAAAATTTCTGGTATTACTTTAATGCCATGCATATCACCCAGACAAATTTTTGCCTGTGATTTCAGGGGAGTTTTGAGGACGATCTTGAAATCTATCCAGTTTAATATCGTGTTATCACCTTGTAATAGTAGTTGCACTTATTCTAAAATGTATTATAGTTTATTAAGTTAATGATATAATCAAGAATCAGTGAGGATTATTCTGCCCTTTAGCACTTGAGAAATTGCTAATGTAAGCCAATTGGTCTTTTACACAAAATAGGTAGAAATATACAGTTATTGAAAAGCATACTCAAAAGACTTTGTGGCAACATGAAAAAGATTTTTGGTGCATTGAGAGGACAGAAGCCGCATGTGAAATTGAATGTACAGAGTCAGTCCTTCTTTTCACACATAACAAATTCCTGAAAACAGGTGCCAGAGTTAAACAAGGGACTTTCTGTTATGAAGTGGTATCTCTCCTAGAAATTAAAGAATATGTATTAAATACTGAATTACATCCTGTCTTTTTGCCACAGGCTTTAAGGACAGATGTCTAGCATTTTTTGAGTTCTTTATTTTGTCTTTTGTGTTCACAGTTGAATTCACAGTTAATGGTTTTAAGTCCAGTAAGCAACTCTGAGGCTAAAGATTTGTCACTTTTAGGACATGTAAAATATTTCTTTTACAAAATAGCTAGAAATATTTATTTACAATGGTATCAAGTTTATGAGACTTGCACGCCTCATGTTTGGTATCAACACTTCAATTTTTCCGTATTCACTCATTTTCATAGAATAGTAAATATAAACCATAATAAATGGTTCTCAAGCTTTTAAAGCCACAGAACCATTTCTTCCAATGAAATCTTACCCTTGAATCCCAGTATGTGGAAAAAGTGAAGTGGAGCTGATTTGGTTGAAATTCTGCTAAGTTTCCATTAAAGAAAACTTGCCATCAAATAATCAAGTAGAGTAACACTAGGTGGCAAGGCGGCCAAGATGGCAGTGAAATTGTCTACCTGTGAGGGCAGCAGTACCATGTGATGGTGCAAAACATCGTCCATCAGTTGATGTCGAAGTCCGAACTGGATGTAGGAAAGGCCATTTAAGGCTGACAGTACATAGTACACAAATGTGCAGATCCGTCCTGTCCTTCATGAGAAAGGACTGGAAGGAAAAAGGGGAGAAAATAAACTGCTCTGTTAGGATGCTGCAGTTATAGATGAAATGTTTCTTTTTCCAACCTAATTCTTTGTCACAGCTTGTACAATCAATAAAAATGGGAGAGACAAAAAGCTAGAGGTCAGCTTTTGTGGTGGCCGCTCCCCAGTGGGAACAAGTCCGTAAGCTCCCTGCAGCAGCCTAGCGGCGCGCGGCCAGGGCAGACTGCTGCGGGGGAGTTGGGTTGACGCCTTCCAATTTGGCCCAGTAACTTCTTTTCTCTTATTGCAGAAGTAACAATCTTTTATCTTTATCAATAGGGAAAGGTTAAATATTTTTAAGAACATTGGCTTATGTTCTTAATGATTTACCAAAATTAGAAAATATAGTACTTCTCTTTAGATGGCTGGTGCTTACTGTCAGCTCTGGAGGCTGGGTGCGCCTATAAAGGAGCAGCACAAGGGACCTCTGCGGAGACAGAACAGGTCTGTGTCTTGATTGTGGTGATGGCTACACAATTCCACACCTGATGAAATTCCATAGAACTACACCCATACACGAATGCATGTAAAATTGGGGAAATCTGAATAAGGTTTGTAGATTGTGTCCGTTTTCTGGTTTAATATTGTGCTCTAGTTATGTAGGAGGTTACCATTGGGGAAACTGACTGAAGAGTTCACGGATCCTCTCTGCACTGTTTTTGCAAGTTCCTGTGAATATCTATAATCACTTCAAAATAAAAAGTTTAAGTAAAAGGGCTCATTTGCGTCAGTCAGATCTTTTCCAGGTCTTACCCCTAAAGCTACAACAAACCAGTAAAAGTCTGTTAGAATATAGCTTCAGAGGCTTGAGTTAGCCTAGCCCCAGATCCCAGTGAGATCCCATACTGGTGTCACTTGGACTGTAGAAATAATATTGTTGGCAAGGGAGACAGGCACTTATCACCTTCAGAGGCACCCATACAAGAGAAATAGACTATCTGAATGCCCGCGCATAACAACTGTTTGTTTCTAGGGTTGAAGTTATATTTCCAGGATTCTTTTGGGTTAATTCTCTGGATCATACATGTGGTGTTAAGGAATGCTGTCTAATATGATACACTGATTTTACATTTATATATCGCGTGCTTCTCTGCAGGGCGAATTTGTAAATGAATATGTTGGCGAATTAATTGATGAAGAAGAATGCAGATTGCGAATCAAGCGAGCCCACGAGAACAGTGTAACTAATTTTTATATGTTAACTGTTACCAAGGTAAAATTGCTTTTTTTTTGTAAGAAAAAAGGATTTTTTGTTTTTATTTCATGGTCTTAGGTTGAACTCAGTTTCCTCTAATTTGATTTTTTCAGGCAAATTATAATGATTTGCAGTAGCCAGTATGCTGTGTACTATGAGCTAATTATCCCAGAGTACAAATGAATGATTATTGAAAGCTTGCACATGTAACGTGAGACAGCACAGGGAGTGCAAAGACAACTAGGAATAGGGTTAACATATCTGGATCTTAGTCCCAGCTCTTCTTAGTCACTGAAAGACCTGGCCCTCGGTTTCTTTATCACTGAAGGAGAAAATCAGCTCTGTAATTCTAAGTTATAAACCACCATTAAAGTTCTAATTTAGCAAAAATCTAACTCTAAATTGTTCTGTATATTTAGACTTTTCTTTATGTGTTAGGAAAAAGAAATGCTGTCATAAGAAAATGACAGTACAACTGCTGGTTTAATACATGTCATGCTAAGTCCCGTTTGATGCACATGACATCCATTATCTCATTTAGTTTCTCTGTGGTCCTTTGATTGACAGAAGATAAGAAACTGAGGTCCAGCCCTGATAAGTGATTTGTTGAATATCTTGTTACAGTTTAATGAAGAGCCTAGACTAGTAGCCATGTTTCCCATGTCCCAGGCTATCTCTAAAACTGAGTCCGAATATCATTCACAGTAAGAACTAGTGATCGTTTAAAAGAAGGATTATTTTAACTGATACGTCATTGTTTGAAGGTTTTACACCTTTCATGAACATGTATTTCAGAAACATAACATGCCATTTATTCATGATCACTGATAGCCCCCTCGGTCCTGCCGTCACTGACAGTGACCCCTCCAACCATTGACAACACCAGGGAGGCGCCATCCCCTAGAGCTTGTCCAGATGGTCAGGGCTTAAATTCAGGGGGCCAAAATGTTGAGCTTTTTACACTATTTTGAACTTTAGTGTACGTAAAAATAGAACAAATAGATAACTACTGGAGCGTACATCCCAAACTATAGCCCTTCCATCATCAAATCTCCGAGTTTCATTCTGAGGAGAAGTCTCTCATTTTTCCTTCTTCACTTTTTATGGCCTAGTCTCTCATCCGTCCACCCTCTACTGGTGTCACTTCTTGTTCAGAGTGGGAAGGAGGGCTGACAGCCAAATACCATGGTTCCCATTACAAGTAGCTATCTGAACTTAGAGTTCCTAATCAGAAAATACCTTTCCTAAAACTATAGCCAGGTAATCTTCTAAGTAGCATTATCGTATGGTATGTTTGTTTCTAGAAACGAACTTAAAAAGAAACTAAACCCCACTTTATCATGAATTGCTTTGACTTGAAGTTCATCAAATAAACTAGAGAACTTAGTAAACCTGCACAGAGATCACCACATTTTCAGAATTGTCAGCTATCAGACGTCAGCTGGTAGCAAAATGCTGCTGCCTTGTGGCTCTTGACTGAGGTGGATGTTTCTAAGACAGGCTGATACTTGGTTTCATGTCAAAGGTACCTTTCATTCCTTTTCTTTCTGAAGGACCGTATAATTGACGCTGGCCCGAAAGGAAATTATTCTCGCTTTATGAACCACAGTTGTAATCCGAACTGTGAAACACAGAAGTGGACGGTGAACGGGGATGTCCGAGTTGGCCTTTTTGCTCTCTGTGATATTCCGGCAGGTAGGAAGGTAGCTGCTCCCCGTGGCCCCTCCCTAGGGAGCACGGCTTGAAGGCGGGACATACTTCAAGGGTTGATGCTCAAATATTTATTCAAATAAGATAAAGAGCTGTGTTTAGAATTGTTATCTGCCAATAAGAAGTAAAAAATCTGTATCCTGCAAAGAGAGAGAGGAGCCTTTATGTAAGAGGATATTACAGAATTCTGTCTCTCCCAGAACCTACTGAATTAATTGTCCCAATTATTGCTCTGTATAATGTAACCAGATGTTGAAGCTTTTGTTTTCTTTTTTGAAAGTATTAAAAGTAATTAGCCTGTGTTAACATCAACTGGCTTCTTGGTTTGTTTGTGGGGTTTTTTGGTTTGTTTTTTAACTTTGAAAGATCAATCTGTTTCAAATTAGACACAGAAAGCTTCTGAAGCCAGAGTTATTGCTTTCATTTTTCCTTACCCCTCCAGCATCTTAATAGCGAAACTTAGTTTCTCCTTTGTTAAGTTTGTAGAAAAATGGGTGACAGGAGAAATGCTGTAGCTAAAAGAGATTTAAACTATGTTTCTAGAAATCATTGTGGATTGTTCAAGCCCAGCTAGAAGAAAACTTGGGCCTCCTACTTTGAATCCCTTGATCTTTGGTGGATATTGTAAACCCACATTTTGAACTCTTTCTTTTTTTTTTGAGGAAGATTAGCCCTGAGCTAACATCTGCCGCCAATCCTCCTCTTTTTGCTAAGGAAGACTGGCCCTGAGCTAACATCTGTGCCCATCTTCCTCTAATTTATATGTGGGATGCCTACCACAGCATGGTTTGCCAAGTGGTGCCGTGTCCACACCCAGGATCCGAATTGGCGAACCCCGGGGCGCCGAAGTGGAACGTTGGCACTTAACTGGTGCCACCGGGCCAGCCCCTGAACTCTTTCTGATCATAATATAAGGCATTAATTACTGGGAGTGGTATGGTCGTCACAATTCCACGGTCATATTGTTCATTTAGAAACTTGTGTAAATTAGCTTTAGAAAAGAGCTAAACTAGAACCCATTTTTCTTGAGCATAGATTTCAGATCTGTAGTCTCAATTACAGAGTTTCTGACCACTTTGATGAAAAGGATATGATGACTTTTGTAGAATATTTTTGCTGTGATCATTGGTAGATGGGGATGTTTTCCTTTAGCTTTGGGTTTGTTTGTTTTTTCCTTTTTCCATCACTGTCTTCAGTGTGGGACATTGGAGAGGGAAAAGTCTTCATGTCAGAATTATGTCTCTTTTTTCATTATGAGTATGTGTCTATGACAGCATTTCTCTTCTCCTTGAATATGAATAATTATTTCTCTTATGTTTTAGGGATGGAGTTAACATTTAATTATAACCTGGATTGTCTGGGCAATGGCAGAACGGAGTGCCACTGTGGGGCAGATAACTGCAGTGGTTTTCTAGGAGTGCGGCCAAAGGTCAGTTGTGCAGGGAGGGGCCCCATGCCAACAGGAATAAGGAGTGGGGCTATTGAAGAAGTTTGTTTATGGCCATCTCAGGAAAAGGCTGGCAAATGGGTACCTGGTTTAGTTTGCGGGTCATCAGTTGTATTTACCCAAAGTTTAGACTCTCTTTCCAGTGAAGCATCTTAGTAAGATCTGTTAGGTTCTGGAAATATATTTTTATTTCTGATTGAATTTTTTTTTTTTTAAAGATTGGCACCTGGGCTAACAACTGTTGCCAATCTTCCTTTTTTTTTTTTTTTTAAAGCTTGGCATCTGGGCTAACAACTTGCCAATCTTGTTTTTTTTTTCCCCCTGCTTTCTTTCCCAAACCACCTCCCCGCCCCCCCCCCCCGCCCCCGCCCAGTACATAGTTGTATATCCTAGTTGCGGGATGTAGGATGCCGCCTCAATGTGGCCTGACGAGCGGTGCCATGTCCACGCCCTGGGCCGCCGCAGTGGAGCACGCGAACTTAACCACTCGGCCACGGAGCCAGCCCCCTTCTGATTGAATTTAAGTTAGCAAAATCCTTTTGAAAAACTTTTTTAAAAAATTCACAGTATACTAAAAACCACTGAATTATATACTTTAAAATGGCAAGTTTTATGGTATGTGAATTATATCTCAATGTCCTTGGAATTTAAAAAAAAAAAGCACCTTATTCAAAAAAATCAATGAAAATGAAGGCTTATTTTTATTATAATACTGTTATGGGATAAGTCCAACTGGTGTTTTTGGGTAATTGAACAACAGATGAATTTACATGACCGTGAGGTTGTAGGATTTTCCTTTCTGTCTAAAGCTTTATAGCTTTATACACTGTGATCATTAAAACCGTGATCCTTTTTTCCTGCCAGTCGGCGTGTGCGTCAACAACTGAAGAAAAGGCAAAAAATGCTAAGTTAAAGCAGAAGAGGCGAAAAATCAAAACAGAACCAAAGCAGATGCATGAAGATTACTGCTTTCAGTGTGGAGATGGTGGAGAGCTGGTCATGTGTGACAAAAAAGACTGTCCCAAAGCATACCACCTCCTATGCCTTAACCTGACTCAGCCACCATATGGTAAGCTACAACCTCAAGACCCTTTCTCTGACTTGCATCTTTGCCAACTGTGTGTAACTTAGAATACATTCCACTCTCCTTGGTGGAGCCGTGGACTAGGAAATGTTGAATAGAACAAACAATAGCAACAAAAATTATGCTAGTGAAAAATCTGTCTCTCTGCAAATTTGAGACACCTGTGGGCCAGCAAGGATTGGTTTCTTATTTATTATTACCATCGGTGAACAGTTAGCTCCTATGGCACTGAGTTTTGGGCAGTAGCTCACATCCATACTTAAGAGTACACCCAGACCCTTGTGTGGAGTCGTATTCAATTGAATTGAGTCTCCAATCAGAGAAGAAGGTGGGAACATGGGTTTTTCAGGGGTAATCGAGAGGCACTAAACTTGGGCTCTTTTCCCCCTTCCCACCCCACATCAGGAAAGTGGGAGTGCCCGTGGCACCAGTGCAATGAGTGCAGCAGTGCGGCTGTCTCCTTCTGCGAGTTCTGTCCGCGCTCATTTTGTAAAGATCACGAAAAGGGGTTGCTGGTTCCCTCTGCCCTGGAAGGCCGTCTCTGCTGCTCTGAACATGACCCCGTATCTCCTGTGTCTTCAGAATACTGGAGCAAGATCAAATGTAAATTGGAATCACAAGATCCTGGAGAAGAAGTAAAAGAATAAATGAGTGATGATTTCCTTTTTGTTTAAATGAAAGAAAGGAACAGCGAAAAGTCGATAGATAATACATTAGTGAAAGAGAGACTGCTGCAGTGCGTCCAGCCCTTGCCATCAGTACTGCCTGTTCAAGTGAAGATGGGCTGGGAAGCCAGTTCGTGCAGGCAGAAGCAGTTGGTGGTATCCGGGTTTTCTGTTTTGTTTTGCTGGTTTGGGGATTCTTTTGTGGAGGGTTAGATTCCCTTGGTCTTTTCTTGCCTTTTATTACACTTCAATGCCTTTGCAACTGGAAAAAAAAGATGTCTTCACTTTTAAAATAAGAACAAAGAGAAAAGAAAATTTTGTTAATGAGATAAATTTAAAGTCTAGGATGTGTTCCTTGGGTGTAAAAAGCAAAAGTAGCCATCATTCCTTTATTTATTTTCATTTTTAAAAATTTTGAGACGTGTAGTTCAGATAGTCTAGTCAGTGTGCGTGTCTTACGTAGGCGTTGGAGAAAGCCCTCTGGAAAAGGGCGCGCTGGTCTTCATGGACCTGACTGAGCAGTAGGTAGGCTAACTCCTTCCCTTCCAGGTGCCTTTCACAGTCCTGGAGAAGGGCTCTCTGGGAGTATTGAATCTGGCCGCCTGAAAACAAAATGCCTCGTGGATTTTATCTCTGTGGTCTTAAACTAGGTGGGCTTTGTGGTATGATAACTTTACCTGGAAAGGTATATAATGTGGTTTTTGGTTTTTTTGTTTTGGAGGAAAAAACAAATGGATGCACTCACTGAGTTTGACACATTTCATTGATAGTGGGTGTTTTTGATGAAGTGCGTTTATGTGGATATGAATGCATAGTTAGAATAGTCATTCCTGTTATCTTGACACACTGATAAAGGCAGCTAGAGGGAGATGAAAGGTACAGACCAAAAATTGGATCATATAAGCACTGTCTTCTGTCCAATTTAATGTAGACCTTGGTCTGACTTGGAATTATGGGCATTTTATTTCCTGTCTCTGCTTCCCTCTCCTAATCAAATATTCCCTTTGTCAACTGACCACTCAGTCATGTTTCCTGGTGAAAACTACACAAATGAATTTGAATTGTATTTGAATAGATCCTTTTGGTTTAGTTCCTAATTTAGAGGGTGAGAGGCATCCCCAAGTTCTATGTAAACAGTTTCTATTTAGCATTATCCAGTACTTAAAACTGCCCCACTGAGGAAGGGGAAGCACTTCTACAGGGTATCTAAGAACCACGCAAACACACTTCAGCTTAGGAAGCACTTAGGGAAAGCTCCCAAGAAAGCAGTGTTAGCAAAAATGGTTGGCTGTGATGCTTGGATCTCATAGATGCAAGTGTGCCAGGATGTCTGCCCACAAAATTCACTTGCTTTTAATGCTTAGGAATATGTATATTCCAGTATTCCTTATATGGAATAATTAGTAATGTCAGACATTATTGTAACACTGTACTAAGTAGAAGTCTAGGGTTAGCTCGAATGAACGTGAACTTTCTATGTGAATTCTGACTGCTTACAATTGCTGGTTACCTGGTAGCATTTCTTTTCCCTCAAGAAGTACCTAGTAACCTTATGAAGGCAGGGAGGATAGATGCTCTACCACATTCCTTCAGTTGTGTTATGTGTGTTCTTCTTTCTTACAATTTAGAGCTCTTTTCTGGAAAAAAAGCTATTTTGTGCCCCTCTCTCTCTCTTTTTTTTTTTTTTTTTGTATGTAAATGTGCAATTATACTGGATTTTCTCTTGTAAAAAACAAAAAACACTACAATTCCTTTACTAAAGCTCCTAAACTGCCATTTGCCTGATTCCAGCAGTTAATTCTGAGGTAACTTATTGGGCCTCCAATAATTCTATTGATTAGATATGGTCCCAAAAGAAAGAGCAAAATGGAAAATGCTAGACATGTTACCAAATAGAACTGCTACAAGTAACATGAATTTACAGCTCACCGAAACACTAAACTTTGCTCTTGAGCAATTATATAGTTTGATGTCCTTTTAAAAAATAATTTAAGAAAATCTAGGTTTTCTCATACTGAAACTTTATTTTATATATGTATACGATAAATGTTTGCTTTTTTAAACTTACTAACATGAAGAATTTCCTTTAATATTCGAAATGCAGCTCTTGTTGAAACAGTATCTGACATGAAATCTTATCTCCTTGCTTTGTTTTGGACTTAGTGCTATTTAATATCTGATGACTTTTATATGGTAAGCCAGGGTATATCCTATATACTACAAATACCTTAGGTTTAAGTATTTTTATGCAGCTTCTTCATTGTGTCACATTTTGTTTCTATATCTGTAACAGAGCTCTGCTGAGATTTCTGTTATTTTGGCGGCGGGGGCTGGTGACTAGTAGGACTGCTCTGCCATTTCAGAAATCAGGGTAGAAAACAAAACAGCTAACCACAGCTCTGGAGTCTGTCCATGAGTGTGCTTCAGCGGTCTGAAAAGTGGTTTGAGTCATGCTAGTGCCAAGGAGCTCTCCTCACGCCTGCACAGCGTCACTTGTTGACCCATCTTAGAGATTTTGCAGTCGCAGGTTACGGAAGCAGAGAGAGTAAGCTGTGCTTTGTGTGTGAATGCTATACACGCACTGTGCTTGCTTTGCTTCACCAGTGAAATATTCCGAAAGACATACTGTTCACTCGGAATCTGAAGTTGCTATTTGTTAACCTTTAAATGTGTATGTGGTCAGAGCATGAGTGGTTGGTTTTTATTCTTGTCCAAAATTGAAATAACTCGAAGTAGCATAGTATAATGGTGGTATTTTCTTTAACCTCATGTTAATTCTTTGGAGGAAGAAGTGAATGTAAGATTTTTGATAATCAGCAGAAAGCTTCAGAAATTGGATGGATAACAACTAAAGCTGAGATCCTGGGAAAGCTTCCAGGCTCTGTGCAGTGGAGGGAGGGGCTGACCTGTGGCCAGTGTGAGGAATCAGGAGCGCTGCCTATCGCTGGCTAAGGGAGGGCAGATGGCCCTTCATCCCTGGAAGGCTGAGGCAGCTGGAGGAAGCGTTTCACTTCTTTAATATCTAATCAGGGCTAGAGTTAGGAGTGAGGGGGGTTTATTTTCATTTTTGTTTTATCAAGTTCCCACACTGTCTTAATTCTCAAAAATGTTCTGGCCTAGGCTATAGAATAGGCTGACTCTTAGAATCACTGAAACCTGAAGACTTCTGTGTTCAAGTCAGCAGCATGTCTAAAAACTTAACGGAACTGGGGAGAGGGAGGCAGGCTGCTCCCAGCCCCCTCTGTCACGTCCACCTGTTTGGAAACACGCCTGTAACCGAGCTGCGGAACTCCGAGGTGATCATGTAAAGGACCCTGACGCAGCGCAGGCTGTTGGACAGCTTCTCTCCTGGTTTGTGAAGCAGTTTCCTTTTTGAGTAATTTGCTGCGTGGCATGTGTTCCAGTCAGGGTCAGTCCCAGGCCGTGCGGTTTAGAAACAGATAGGCCGGCTCCACAGAATGTAATCTCTGGACTGCCCAAGATTTGTTGCTTGTCTTTCATTTCACTTTTAAATACAAAGCTGTTCCTTTACTGTTCACCTTAAAGTCAAGGTGCTGCCACATGCCGCCTTCCGACAGGATAAGAAAACAACTTGGGAAGCTTACCTTTGATGGACTTCCACATTAGGTACGATGACACCGGGAGGCTGCTTTATTGCTGGGCAGTGCAAACTAGACTGGAATTACTTCTTACAAGTCTGACGCGGCGAGCCACCCCCAAGTTGTCCACGTTGCTGCAGACATGAAGTGATCATTTGGAAGAATTTCCTTTGGCCTAGGGTCACCTAGAATTGGTCTCTGGTTATTTGTACACAAAGAGTAGAACTCGCTTCCATTTTCAGATAGGCTAGGGAATAGATGTAATCAGACAGCTTTGCCATATATTAACAGATACTGAAAAGTGGGAAATGTGTATATACGGAAATCTACCAACTTCTATCTGGGGTGGGGTATAGGGAGAAAAGGGTTATAACGGGAGGGGAGGGGGATGATGATGTTTACCGCAGGTACGAAGTAGTCACTTTAACATTGAGACCTCTGCCTCATTGAATTCAGGTTTTTTAAGTACTTGAAACTCTTCAGATTCTCCTTATTTTACAGTTATTTTTAAATTTATGAAATAGAAAGCATTGTTTTGTATACTGCTTTGAAAATAAATAGCCTAGTCTCTTATCCTCTTTGACTTGGATGAAAGGCAGAATTCTGCAAATGGGAGAGTGTTCACAGTTGATAGCTCAGATTCATGCACACATCTGAGGAAGAGACTCCTGCATGAAATACCAGCAGCATTTTTACAAATATTTCTGTCATATGTTCTTTAGTTTGTCATTTTGTCAGCTCTATCCCCAAGCACTTCTTTCCTTTTAATATATGCCTGTGTTGGAAAAACAAAAATTTGCACTTACGTTACACTCCTAAAATGCTGGGTGTAACCTGTGTGTTTCAAAAATCATTTCCGTTGTTTTTTCGTCAGTCCATTGCTTCAGTGACAAGTTCAGGTGCTTGTGGCACATATGTGTGAAGGGAGAGGAGAAGAGAATTACCTTTCCTTGGGTAGCCTCTAAAAGTTATTAACATGCAAGAAAAAGGGAAAAGATGAATAGTTGCCAAAGTCATTTATTCAGTCCTTAGTTTTTTATGTGACATTACTGCATCTGATCGGCAAGACAGTGCCCTCAGGTTCCAGTACTCCCTTCCCCACCTGTTACAGACTTCTGATACAGGCAGACGGCTCTCAGTATCCAGCAGCTTACCTAGGTAAGGTATTTACAAGGTAGTCTTGTCAGTTTAGAAGTGGACTGCATAAACTTTACTTTGTTGTCATTAATATTGCTCTTTATCTCATTTGTGCTGTCACATACCCTGTGTTAAAAAAGAAAATCATATTGCAACCGATAACCAAGATGCTAAATGATTACAACTGGCTAATAATTCTTTTTATATACAAGGGTGTGTGCATAATTGGAATTGATATGAGAATTCATTTGTATCCACTTGTGATATTGCACAACAAACACAGATACCTACAGATTCTGTTTTCATTTCCTTGTGACCTTTATCTATGATAATGACCTTTGTAGATTGGTTTTTTCTGTACTTTGTTTATCTGTAATAAACTTTGTAGATCCTGTGAAATGTTATTTTGCCTAAATCACTTGAGACTTGAGTCTTTAATAACAAAGCATCAATATTCACTAAAGTCAATCTCCTTTGAGTTTCTGTGACTTGGCTAGAACCTCTTGACACTAAGGGATTAGTGTTAATTTTCCCTGGGGATGTTCCACTAGGGCATTACTGTATAATGACGATGTTGCCACATAGACTTCAAGATATATGATATTTTGGGGATTTTGTTGATTGGCCTATGTTTTATTGCATAGTGTGAAACGTGTAAAACTTGGTTAACCTGTATATAGATAGCTTATTGTTGACTAGTTACAGTGTACTTAGGATTGCCTGTAATATTTAAGCTTCTTACTACTGTGTGTGCTGGTAGGAACATATAATTTTTGTACATTATATTTACTGAGATGTTACCATTTTTTATTTTACAAATACTTTGGAATTCAAATGTGTTTTTTGTTTCTGTGAGGATTAATTTGGAAAGGTTTTTAATGACATTCCACTGATTTCAGATTTTGCTTGAGATTGACTTCAATAAATTGTCCTGTATGTTCCAAATTAAACATGTGGACTTGTTCATTGCCTGTAATTCCTTGCTACAACTCACTGGGCAAGAGGCCATCAAGGGAGGGAGGGGACCTAGCACCCAGGCTTGAAATGGACAGAGAGTTAGCCATTGATGATTTTGTAATTACCGATTATAGCTTTTAGCTGTTTAACCCACCCAATATGCTATCTGACTCCCACTAGGCTCCTAAGATCTCTCTGGAGGGTGGGTCACCATGGTAATGGGTGTGTGAGCTGTTTTTCAGGAATTAGAACTCCTTGTCCACTTCAGGCCAGCTGAGACCACCAACTCATCAACTGAGCCTGCGCACATGTCCAACAGGCGACCTTTTGACCTCAAGAGGCTAAAAACTCCAACCTCAGATCATGCTAACGCTGCCATTTTGTGAACACGGGTCCTATGAAGAGGCATGAAGTCTGACTACGCTTGCGCAGATCAATTACCTCACCTCTCCTCACCTCCAATTACCTCTCTCCATGTTTCAGACCACCTTGCCTCCTATCCCAGAAATATCCTCAATATTTTTGGGGAGGCAGATTTGAGACTCATGCTCTCGCTGCCTGTCTTAGCTGCCTTGTGAGTAAACTGCTGCAATCTCGTCGTCTCTGTTTGGCTTTGTGGGTGGCACAAACGAACCTGGTTCAGTAACAGGCTGAATGACCCAATATGTCCACCCTCAGCCACTGAGGCCTGCAGCACAGCAAAGTCCTGCATGACAGCTAGGTATGTATCTTCCTTCAAAAATGCTGCTAATAAACTTGGATCCGAAAAGGTGGGGGTTTTGTTTGGTTTTCCGAGAGGAAAGGTCCCTGGAGAATGTGGCTCCTTGGTTTGGTGTGTATGAGAATATGGAGGCTGGTTGGCAAGGACACGAAGGGAGATACTCATCACTTTCATCCCATTGGTTTATGAGACCCAAAGGCGACCCGCCGGCTGGACACCGGGAGCTCGCTCATTGCTGAACCTACGGAACAGCACTACCCGCTTTTCAGTCCTTTCGCTGGGTGATGCTCTCAGAACCACGCAGAGCGGCCTCTGCCGCTTCCTGGATCGCTGACCCGGCGGCGCGAGGCGGCAGCTGAACGCCTACCCTGCGTGCAGTTCCGCCGGTGCCCGCCAGCCCGCGCTGGGGAGACCCGGTCCCGGGGGCGGCCCTCGCGCCCCGCCGCGGCGGCTGCCACGTCAGCGCGTCGCGTGTCCCTGCGCTGCGCGGGCCGGGCGGATGGGGAAGGCGGTGGCGGCCTTCAGGGCCGAGCTGGGCGTGCGGATCGCGCTGTTCGCGGCCTTCCTGTAAGCGGTTTGCGGGTCGGACCCCGGGGCCCCGGCCCCCTCGCGCACTCGGGCGCTGCGACCCATAATGAGGCGGGCAGGGCCCCGCTACCTCGGCAGGCCTGGGGCTCTCCTGGAGGGGCGGCCATCGTCCGCGGAAGCAAGCCAACGTGCCCTGCGCTTTTTGTTCCCCCTTTAGGGTAACAGAGCTTCTCCCTCCCTTCCAGAGGCTTATCCAACCGGAGGAGATGTGGCTTTACCGGAATCCGTATGTGGAAGCAGAGTATCTCCCTACCAAGCCGATGTTTGTGCGTGGAGAACCAGCCCTTTCTTCTGACCCTTAAAACTCATTACTGAGCTCAATGCCAGGAAGGGGAGGTGGCCGCTCTGGCTCCAAAATGATCTTCCTATCGCTCCTTTTGTTGGTGTGCTAGATTTTGCTTCCTCATGTTTAAGATCCACATTTGGAGAGCAAAATGTCAGACTGTTTTGGCTCAAGAGGCGTTCTGTGAGCTCTGTTCCTTAGCATGGTCTGGTCATTCAGACTGGTGGGCGATAGTGTTACTTACTGGTGGGGCTGCCTGGGGCCCAGTTCACCCACAGACAGACACTGAGACGGCTGCTTCTATGTACAGGGGAACAGTTAGGTCTGAGATGTGAGTTTTCTCACTTCCATCCCTCTTCCCTACAGGAGGTACTTTAACAACTAGTTGTGTGGCGTTGTATTTGTGCTTTGGTTTTGTTTTTTAAATCTCTGACATATTCTGGTTCAGGTCATTGCATTTCTCTCTCCACTGTCTCTGATCCTCCTGGCCAAATGTCTCAAGAAGGCAGACACGACAGACAGCAGACAAGCCTGCCTGGGTAAGAGCAAACCCCTTCTGGCTGTTGTCATCGTATCTTCTTGGTGCTGGAATGAAAAGGCAGGAGTGGTAGGGGTCAGCCACCGGATTCGTGGCCTCAGTGAGTGGAGGCCACTGAGTTCTGCATCCTAAAGTAATTATACCTCCCCTGTACCCCACTTGTTACACTGTGAGACAGAAAAATAGAACTTGGTTAACCTCACAGGTGCGCCTAAATGCACTGGATTATTTGTACCTCAAAATGTCTTCAGCCGAGTACAGAAGTTCTCCCTGTACTACAACAGAATGGTCATTGAGGGCAATTATTTTAATACTCAGCTCTGCTTGGAGCCTGACCATCCCTATCTATCTCAGAAATACCATGGCTGCTCTCTTAATGGGACAATGACCATGTCATTCCTCCCTAGGCAGATTCCACTAACAGTAAGTTTCTTTGCTTTCCAGCTGCCAGCCTTGCCCTGGCTCTGAATGGTGTCTTTACTAACACAATAAAACTGATAGTGGGGAGGTAAGTGACAAGAGTTAGCCACCCCAGTGTGTGCCTGAGCCCTTACCCCATCAGGAGAGACGGTTAACGGTACTCCACTACACATCTTTCTCTTTCTCCTTTTCTCCTTTATTCTCGGTCTGTTCTTTTCTCATGTAACACTTTCTCCCTTCCCTATACATTAGTCCTGTGGTGACGCTTGGGCTCTCTTCTCCCTGAACGGCATTTCCTACTGACAAGCACAGCAGAGCTGGTGTCCTCTAGAGCACCCCTGAAGCTGCAGCGGGGCTCGCTCTTTGCCCCAAAAAAGTAATCATGTGCTGGAATGGCTGGTTTTGTTCCAATTTAAAGTTGACCCTGGAAGTAAGGCTTTTCTCTTAGTAATGACTATCCTAATCCAGTTTCATTATTTTGCCTGGGGTACTATTTGACCAACTGTTAAGAGGATTACTGATGTCTGATACAACCAAAAAACAATTTCTGGAGCTGTAAATGACCCGTGTTCAGACCTTGCTTATTTCTTCCAGGCCACGCCCAGACTTCTTCTACCGCTGCTTCCCCGATGGGCAAGCCCATCCTGAGCTGATGTGCACAGGAGACAAGGACGTGGTGAATGAGGGCCGTAAGAGCTTCCCTAGTGGACACTCTTCCTGTATGAATACCCTGTGGACTCTACTTCTACGCTTTTTTTTTTTTAATCATTGAATTTAACCTAGGAAGTTTGTGAGGATAGGAACAGAACATCTCACCACTCTTGTTCTTGTATCTAGATATTGGAGAAGCCCCCTTCTTTAATAACCCTGGGAGTTCACAAGCCTGAGCCTCAAATATTAGGGTAAATATTCAAGGACAGAGGAGGTAGTTTACTTTCATGAGATTTGAACATTATTGTTGTATTATGTGCCTAGATTCTGCAATCTTGTACAAGTCATAAAAATATTAATCTTTACTGACGAGTTACTGTGTGTCAGGTACTCTGGAAAGCATTTTAGATTCTTACATCACTTGATACAGTAACAGCCCAAGGAAGGAGATACTATTATTTTTGATTCCCACTTATATATGAGGAAACTAAGGTACTGAGAAGTTAAGTAACCTGCCCAAAGTCATTTAGCTAGTATGCTAAAAACTATTCTCAGGGTAAATATTGTTAACTTTGGGACACAAATAAAGTCCTTCATTTTTCCTTTTGTTTCCTTCTCCCTCATAATCAATGATCTACACCAGAAGTATGCAAAAAAGGAATAAAACATGTTCGTGCCCCCTGGCCTCCTATTTGCAGATAAATGAGGAGGCTTCCTTTAAAAGAAATATATGTTTTCTCTCTTCTAGTTGCATTTGCTGGTCTGGCCTTTGCTTCCTTCTACCTGGCAGGGAAGTTACATTGCTTCACACCACAAGGCCGTGGCAAATCTTGGAGGTTCTGTGCCTTTCTGTCACCTCTACTTTTTGCAGCTGTGATTGCACTCTCTCGCACCTGTGACTACAAGCATCACTGGCAAGGTAAACAAGGTATTCATGCCATGGAAGCTTCCATGTTTCACTCCTCATTTTATGCCCAGCACCTGGTACAAAGGAGATACTCTCTAAGTGTCTGCTGAATTAATAAACAAATAAGTATGGGACGATCTGGGTTCTGTACTCAAAGAGTAAGCATTTTTAGCCATATGGAAGATGAGAAAGCACACTGTTACCTGTTAGAGAGATTAACAATGAGGAATGTCCTAATTTCTCCATTATTCTGAAGGATTGTAAGTTCAGAATAACTATATGAATTTTTTACAACAAAGTTAAAAAAAAAAAGCTCAATTTACTGTCTTAAAATCAAGTTCCCTGTCATGAAATTTCTGTTCAGAAACAAAAGTAAAATTCAACAAAACATACAATTGTAATTAAACCAAAGAAATTTAAGTAAATGATATAGTAAAATATCCAAATTACAAAATATCTTCCTAGAAAACCCACAATTCAAAAAACAAGCAGAGAGTATTGCCCTGAGATCCTTAGGAGCCCTGTTTTAAAGAATAAACCAGGGACCAGCCCCATGGCCGAGTGGTTAAGTTTGCGCGCTTCGCTTCGGCAGCCCAGGATTTCGCCGGTTCGGATCCTGGGTGCGGACATGGCACTGTTCATCAGACTATGCTGAGGTGGTGTCCCACATAGCACAACCAGAGGCACTCACAACTAGAATATACAACTATGTACTGGGGGGCTTTGGGGAGAAGAATAAAAAAAAAAAAAGAAGATTGGCAACAGTTGTTAGCTCAGGTGCCAATCTTTAAAATAAATAAACCAATTTTTTGCAGAGATGTAACTCTTGAAGAGTTTATTCCTTCCTCTAGAACTCTTTCAATGGTGAAAAAAAAAGTTGTTAATGGCATTTAGTGAAACGTCGTTATTCTTCTGAATTAAAAATATTCAATCTTATCCCACAACTAGAATGACATGCAACTAAGATATACAACTGTGTATGGGGGTGGTTTGGGGAGATAAAGCAGAGAAAAAAAAAATATTCAATCCAGTGTGCTTGGGGAAAATATTGTTATACTTACTTAACTAAAGATGTGTTTCAACTTGGTGTTTAGAGAACAACCTGATAATCATAATCCTGTAACTTGTATGATAAAACTGAGAAAGCCTAAAGAAATCATAAACCTGGAATTGAGGTTTTTTGCAACCCAAACAAGTGGAATAACCTAGAGGGCCAAGTTCTCTTTACTATGTGGTATCTAACATGATTTAAGAGCCCAATATGATTCAGAGAAGACCTCATCTCCTCTCTCTCCAGATGTACTAGTTGGATCCATGATTGGACTGACGTTTGCCTATGTCTGCTACAGGCAGTATTATCCTCCTCTCACTGACCCAGAATGCCATAAACCATTCCATGGCAGACCTGCACTTCCCACCGCACAGAAGCAGCCTGGTGATCCTCATCGTTTTGATATTTAGAAATTGGAGCTACCTCAACAGGGAAATAAGTGAATCAGCCCTTCTAACTGGACTATGCCTGAGACAAGAATTTCTGACCTGTTGACCTCTTAAGAGTTAAGTGAGGACATAAGCACATTCCACCTCCATATGATCATGCCATTCTGCCCCTACTCACAGGAATTTATCATGAGGAGTCAAGGTTCTTTTTCACTACTGTAAGCCTCACATTCTGGTAAAAAGATCTTTCAGTAGTCCTCCAACAGCGTATGAATCTGTCCATCAAATTGGTATTCCAAGACATACAGTGTTTTTACATTTAATTAAAATGCCATTCTTGGAAGGATCTTATCACAAAGAAGCCTTTACATAGCCCCACTTTATCCTAGAAATTAGAGTTATCAAAACTTAATTTCCATTTTCCGTAGCTCAAAATCTTAAAATCTAGGGCATGACCAATTAATTATTTTGACTCTGTTTACTTTCTTGGGTAATAATTCCATAGAGCCTTAAATAGGAAAATTTCCAATTCTGGCTAATTTACCACTGTCATGCATATCTTATCTAAGTCCAGCCAGATACTGCTGTCCATTTTGAACACTGTGAACATAAATGATCTGTTGAATTACTAAGTAAACACAATAAAAAACAAAATGGGCAGGAGTGGGGCTTCAGTTCTAACAAGTGATGATTACTTGTACCTCGTTTGTCCTTCACTGTGCTCATGAGCTTCTTTCCCTCCTTTCATGACTGAAGATCTGCCCAAATGCATCAACTTTGCCAACTGGCTAAAGCAGGCAAGAAAAATTAAGAAAAATAACAGATATCAATATCTGGAGGACAAATGAATCTTTTTCTGTCCCTTCTTCACAATGGGATATAAAGAACAATTACGAGACATCATCAGAACTGATGCTGTAGTACCTACAACTTTCCTTTTATTGTGATTATACTTTATTTTATTTTATTTTTTTTTTTGAGGAAGATTAGCCCCGAGCTAACATCTGCTGCCAATCCTCCTCTTTTTGCTGAGGAAGACTGGCCCTGAGCTAACATCCATGCCCATCATCCTCTACTTCATATGTGGGACGCCTACCACAGCGTGGCTTGCCAAGCAGTGCCATGTCCGCACCTGGGATCCAAACCAGCAAACGCTGGGCAGCCAAAGCAGAATGTGCAAACTTAACTGCTGCACCACTGGGCTAGCCCCATGATTATACTTTAAATATCACCTTGTCTTATGTATTTCTTTCTATAACATCCTTTCAATGTATCTTTTTTCTTCAGTAAATGTGATATTCAAATAAAATAGTGAATGTGCTTTTTTTTTTTTTGGTACTTAAAGTACCATTCAAGAGCTGGAACATTTCCAAAGTAAACCACCGGAGTCCCCATCGGTCATAAGTGATTCGACTTTCTACAGTAGTGGCTGCTGTTTGTAATACCAAAGGACAGTCTTGGCATTTCCCTTATCATTGTCATGCTCTAAATTCTGAACTACATCTGCCTGTGACAACGAAAACACGAGTCAAGGGAAAAGAACTTAAATATTAGTTCTTTGCCCAAAACTTTTATTTTTTAAACTTGGTTTAGTGATATATAGGGGAAGAGAAAATGGTTATTGTATTAATTTTCTTTATTTTATGATGGATGGAGCCAGGTAAAAGTAGGCAACTGGTCAATATGGTTTTATTTCAGTATTTACTAAAGTTTTAAATATCACATAAAAAACAAACATTTCAAAAACTGCAAAATATTAGAAAGCTAATCAGTGCTATTAATCTTCCCATGCAAACGATCTCTTTTGCTGAGATAAGCAATACCAATTCTGCAGCTGGAAATATGTATAAAATGGTACTCTACGAGGGTTTAAAAATAGGTTTAGTCAAGAGATTGCACATGATACAACCAAAGTAGTGTAAATGATATACAACTAAAGGATTTAAATCAAGCTTATTACCCTGTATAATACACACCATGATAATACCACAGGTGGATAGACAAGATGTACAGCTGTTTTACAGTTATCTGCCCCTCACCACCAGAAAAGAAACATTTCTTAGTAGAAACAGTGGTTTATCTAGCTATCCAGGGTTATGCTGTTCATCTTTGGTTACAGGTAAGGACTCTTGCCTGTCCTTTGGTTTACTCTTAAATAGTACCTATTCTGCTAATATGAAGAGTAAATTTAAATTTGAAGACAACTAGGAAAAACCTTCCCCTTTAATATATATTGAATGCTACTTAATTCTCAGTAACCTTTACTTTAAACTCAGAGTTTACATAGTAAAGAAAATAAAGTATTGCCTATATCTGAAACTTCTTAGTGGCTTAGTCAGCATTAGTCTAAAAGCAGATGGACAAGGAAAGGCCAGGCTCTGACCTATACCCCAACCTTCCCTCTACCATCTCTAGAGTGACAGTCATTAACCTTCCCTTTCCTTTTCTCTCCAGAAAGGGATAAAGACCACTGCTGTCAAAGGGATGGCTTAAGTGAATGTTAAATGCCATTGCTTTAGATATCATGATACATTTACAAAAAACAAAACAGCTTCCCTGCCTATGCCACTCTATGAACAAGAGCCTGTGGAAATCTGAGAGGAGTGTAAAGGAGTATCACAAAGACAACTGCAAAGACAATGAGAAACTCTGACCACTGGGGAAGAAAATACTGCCAGCACAGTGGGGAGCAGATGCCTTGTAAAAAATTAGTCTACATTCACCCATCTTCTTCAAGGTACATCTCACTTTGCATATTCTAACACTGACTCTGCAACAGCTGTTCCTTAGCCGCTATAGGGACAGGGTTTTACTTTCAGAAGAAACATTTCCTCCTAGCCAACCCTACCTGCTCAACCAACATTGCTTGTGCCATGATCTTTTACATAAGCATTCCGGATCATGGGTACCTAAGGCAATGATGTTTAAAAAAACATTTTTAAAGAAGACACACAACACGACCTTCACCCAAGTGGATGTGGCAGGTGACTTACACAAATTCTGTTTCACCATAAATGCGCCACTAGATTTCATTTATAACCTAAGCAGTCTGTCAAGGCTATGTCATTTCAAGTTTGGCAGCTTTTGTAACTTTACCTTCAACTTAAGAACAGAAGCTATTATCAGATAACAAGTCAGATTTTATCTAGAGTTTCCTAATTTGAAGTATGATATAAAAGGGCAGGTCTAGGATATATCACATCTTGGCTTTATAAAGGTGCACCTAATGTGAACATATTGTCCACTTTAGACTCTTATAGCAGCTCAAACAGCTGTAAAAACAAGGAACAACATCAGTGATTCCTAGCAATAAATTTGTCAATCAGCTGTAAAAAGAGTAAACAATACTCTCTTCAAGCCACATTTTAGTCTTTCTTCATACAGTACTAGGAAAGAAAAGCTAACTAGAAATAATTTGCCTTTTCCATATCCACTTGGACTTAGTCTTCAAACGCAGAGAAAACCAATGAGAGGAGTGTACCCCAACATGCCTTCTGAATCTCAAGAGTCGGCTTCCAAACTAGAACCTTTTCTGAAGATAAGCAACAATCTCCTAGAAAAATTTCTACCCAATCCAAAACAAATCAAACTCTGAATAGACTTTATGCCATCTCAGTAATAAGTAATAAAGTGTGGTACCTATATACTATCATCAAAGAATTAAAGATGCAAACCACCCCCAGCTAAGAAGAAACAATGGCAAGTGTTAATATGAAGCCAGTGGTAAAAAGCAACAGGGTCTTCCCTTGCTTTTCCACTCACTCCAAAAAGGAAGATTATCTCCCAAAGACCCCAATGGTGAGTTAGCGTCAGGCAACATGCAGGAAACGACGCAGCTGAGGAGAAGAAAACCGCAGCAACAAACAGGTGGATTTTCTGGGGAAGGATCCCTCAATGTCCGTCTAGGGGAGAAAGTGGAAAAAAGGTCATCATGCAGTCACAACCAGAAAGCAACCAGGGAGAATGCCAGAGTCTAATACACAAACTTTCTAGTTATACATCTAAAAGGCTGAGTAATTTAAATCTCAACATGGACTGTAATTAAAATTATAACTGTTGCTATGGTAACTCTTAGGTAATCAGAACTCTTAAGATTCTGAGTTTAGATCCTAAAAATGACAAGTATTAATGGACCATATCACTAGCAAAACACACACACGGACCTTCTGTGAAGTAGGCTATCACACTTTTTCCCCATGAATTTTAACCAAAGTCCTTCTACAAATGAGCAATAACCTAGATCTTGGAGACAGGCAAGAGAAAAGTCTATTTCTGTACTTTGGAGCCTGAGGCTCCACAGTTCCTTATAACACATTAACATACAGGAACTACGTTGCATACATGACATTTAAAACTTACATGAAGCAGCCATAGATGGTTCATTTTTACTGTAAAGGCTGATCAAGGAAGATACCCTGGGTTTGGTAGATTTCTTTGAGGACCAGCAATACTGTATCTTCAGACTCCCTATAAAGAGAAAAAATTATGTTGTAAAAAGAAGGAACTAACCTTTGTACTAGATGCTTTACATATATTGTCTCATTTAATCTACACAACCACCATGCAAGTTCATTTTTTACTATTGCAAAAAAACCAGACTCAGAGATGACGTAATTGGCAGTAGTTTGGAATGTAACCTTCTATCAAAGAAGTCTAGCCTTATGTCTGGTAACATAAAAAAGCCAGTAGTAAATGACCAAAAACCGTTCCCTTTCCATCGAGCTCATTCTTGGGACAATATGGAAGAGCCATCCAGTTGGTCACCTTGATTTTTTAAATGTTACTTACTTTTTTAAAAAAATAATACAATCATATAGTTCAAAATTCAAGATATGAAAGGGTATAATACTAAAGTCTCCCTCCCATCTGTTTCTTAACCACTAGTTCCCATCCTCTGACAACCAATGTTACCAATTTCTCATGCATCTTCCAGATATTATTCTGTGTGTGTATAAGCAATTACTTATATACAGTACACAAAGATATCTGATTATAAAAAATAACATTCCTGAAGGATTGCCTTAAAGATACAGATATGGCTCAACATTTCCCTGGATCCATGGTTCAACATTTTCTGGGTCATGGATCTATTTGAGAATCTAATGAAACCTATGGATTGCTCCCCAGAAAAAAATCACATATACATATATGCCCAAAATTATAAATAGAATTTCACTGGATTCACAGACTTTCTCTCCACCACAAATTACATACACAGATCTGAGGTTAAGAAATTTCTCCCATGCCACCGAGGAGGGATTAGCTAAATCAGATATTAAAATTGTGTGATCCTGGTACATAAATAAATGTATTAATAGAAAAGAATAGGAAGTTCAGAAATAGTGCTAAATACATATAGTAATTTAATATAATAAGGTTAGAATCTCAAATCTATTAGCAGTGTTGGTACAACCAGACAGCCATCTGGAAAATGACTTGGATCAATCTACGCATTATTATTAGGATAAATCTGAAGTGAAGCAAAGATTTACACGTAAAAATTAAACCATAAAATACCAAAATAAACTGTGGTAAGGAATTCTTTGGAGAGTAAGGAAGATGTAGTATGACGCAATTCCAGAAGCCAAAAAGGAAAAATCAACAAATTTGACTACATAAAAATCAAATTTTTCTACTTAGCAAAAACCAATGTATGCAACGTCAAAGACAAATGGGAAAAAGTA